GAAATACATACATTAGTGAGAAAAGCATACACAAATGGATTTTATTAGGGGGAAGGGCTGGCAAAAAAAAGTGTAGAGTAGGCAGTCACTGATGAAGTTTCACAATTTATTTGTTGATGTTTTTTGTTGAAAAATTCAGCAAACTGATGCAGCAATGTGAAGAACTGAACTTAAACTTGGGGGAAATGAGGAACTGAGCGAAACCAAAATTGTTTCCCCGTAGACTCCCCGATGGCCATCTTTGATACAGAGGCATGGGTGCTGCTATTTAGGGTGAACTGAAGGCCAAGACAGGTGTACATGTTAAAAAAGACCGAACCTTGAATGTGTGTTTTAGTTCTCTTTTGGATATACATGTGCCTGTAGCGTATCAGAGCAAATTGACACAGGTACATTCATGAAGGAACAATGAGTGTTCAAAACCTGTGAGTCTTTTTTTATGTATGCCTTGTCTTGGCCCTCAACTAAGATTCTGTTTGCAGAAAAGAACATTCATTTATGAATGGAGATGGCACAAAGTGTGGCATTTTATTCCAAAGCTGAGCAAAACCCAGTTTTCAGTCCAGAACAAAAGGTGATTGGCCCTTTTGAATGATTTATCTTTTCCTTGAACATAACACCCGAGCACTTTGACCCACTCCCCACAAGAGGCCCAAAAGCAATGCAATCCACACCTTTGGCAGCTGTGGCTGCTCTTGAGGGAAATGCAACCTCTTGAGGGAAATGGCATAATAAATAACGAACTGCTTGAAAACAAAGACAAAGAACAATTAAATGAGATCCATTGTTCAGTCTCTCATAGGAAAAGAATGGAAGTAAATGAGCTTCCTTTTCCAGGGCCGGCCCTGCCACTGGGCAGAATGAGGTAGCCACCTCAGGCAGCTGATATTGAGTGCTATGAAAGGGGAATAATAGATTCAGAATTGTAGAATTGGAAGGGGAAATCGTTAGTCAGTTTATTACTATTGTGCAAGGGGATAGTAATATGGATGCAGCTGTGCAGCACAGGAACTAATTGAAATGTGCCTTGTAAACCAATCTACCTCTTGTGTCTCTTCACAGTGCACAGGGAAGATGACCAGCTATTGACTCAGAGACGGCACCTTTGGCTTTAACACTAGACCTAGGGCATGGCCCTGCAGCAGCGTCTCTCATCCTAGTGCCTTAGTACTTCACTGTAACCCTCCTCCTTTCTCCTACCTGCAAACAGCATTCTAGTTTTGTTCCTCGTGAGGTCAGCCTGGCAAATACTGCATTGTCTCTAGTGGTGCCATAGAACGTGAGTGCTGCTCCCAGGGTCAACAGCAGGGTACCTTATGTCCTCCAAGCTGGAGAACTCTGGTAGATGGGACAGCTCAATGTTAATTACAACGGTAAGGGAAAGAGGAAGCAAGTTTCTGTGTGGATGGAAGATTCTGTATTAGGAGAAGAAATAAGCTCCATGTTCTGCCATGTTCAGTGGTGCAGTTGTGGGGACATATGATGGGGCTTTTTCGGTTCTGGCACCCAGGTTGTGGAACTCCAACTCTAGGGAGATTCCTTTTCTTACAGCTTTTAGATGTTCTGTGAAAACCATTCTATGTTGCCATGTGTTTTGTGCCTATTTTCTCCCTGCTGTGCTTCTGATGGTTTTCAATGTGCTGTTTTCATGCTCTTGGATTTTTAAATATTCTCTAAATTGCTTGCTTTGTTTGTAAGTGGAAGCCACCTCAGACCCTTTTAAGGGCTGAAAGGTGCTATCTAAAAACAGCTTTAGAAGGAAGTAAATAATTCAAAACATGTGTGAGCTTGGAGGCTGGGAAGATACAAACCAGGCCAACACTTGAGATGCTCAAGGATCTGCTGCTGGTAGTTCCAATGGCACTGTCCCTTGTACCATCATTATCTGTCGGAGCAGGAGATCAATTTTCCTTGACCGAAACTGGGCATGATTTCAGTTGTTAGGTGTTTAAACAAGGCCTATTGGGTTAGTTATCTGGCTGATAAAGAGCAGATAATAATCACTGAAACGGAGCGGTCACTCCAGCTGTCAAGGCAGCTGGACTTTGTGCTGTCACATAACTGTTTCTCCAAACGACAGGAGGGTTAAAGTCAACCCCTGTGAACTGGGACTTATGCAAATGTGCAGTCACCCCACCAAAGCCAGCCAATAGCTGCACCCACCGGGTTGCAGCTGGTTCCCAAGAAGCTGTGGGATTCAGGTTTGGAAAATTTATTTGCCTTTTCCGATTTTCTTCTGCCTTTTTCTCTCACATGAAAGCTCAAGGTGGGTTACATTAGTAAAATAAATGCAAGAAAACCAATAAAGCCACAATGACAATTCCAATCATTATTCAAACCACCGTTCACCGTAATTCAAACGCACTTAGCAGCTGCACCATCCCATGCATGCCTACTCTGAAGTAAGCCCCACTGGGTTTACTTCTAGATAAGTGTGTATTGGGTCGCAGCCATGCAGCCATATGCGAATCAAACTATCAGTTGTCTGAAACTGGAATTGAAATTAAATTAATAAAAGTGTTTTGAACTAAAAAAAGGTTTTGCCCATTTCCTGGAGGTTGACAGCCTGATCATTTTTACTTAGAACTTCCACTTAAATCAGTAGGTCTTTACTTCCTAGCAAGTGTGCGTGGGATTGTAGTCTTCTTAGAGCCCATTTTGGGCAGCTTTGCTCAGAAGAGAGTTCTATTTAAAAGGGAGGGGAACCTGTAGCCCTGGACCTGAACCTGTAGGGCTGGACTCTAACACCCATCACTCCCTGCCCTATATACTACCCTGGCTGAACTGTTTTGACTCCTCAAGAACTCATGTAGGATCTTACAAACTACGAGGGATTTTTAAAGAGAAACCCTATCTTTGTGCTAACTATAGGACGGCAGATGCAATCTTTTCAAAGTGTATATGCCTAAGTGTATATGCCTAAGGCTGGGTACACATCATGCCTCTAAAGCACTTCTAAAGAAGATTACTTCCCCCAATGAATCTGAACTGTAGTTTGTTAAGGGTGCTGGGAATGTAGCTCTGTGGTGGGTAAACTACATCTCCCAGGGTTCTTTGGGGGAAGCCATGTGTTTTAAATGTATGGTGTTTATGCAGACTTGGGATAATATATCCTACACATAGCCTGTAACATTGTCCATGAAAGAGCAGTAATAATGTAGTCCAGGAACAACCTTCCTGTCCCCTTGTTACAATGAGATAAGCTTTCTAACTTAATCGTATTAGAGAGTTAACCTTAGGATTTTTCCTCAAGTGAAATGTCAGTTGGGATTTAACCGAACCTCTTATCCTTCTTCATTCCATCGGCAAGAGAAATATGTCTCATTGGATAGATCCAGGCATACAATGCAATCCTAACCATGTCTAGTTTATTGAATTCAATGGGACTTACTCCCAGGCAAGGATGGACAAAATCTGTCCACTTAAGTTACTCATTTTTCCAGTTACTCCCCTTTCCTTAGCAATCTGCATTTTTAAAAAATTCCCTCGTGAAAATTTGTCAGCATTTTAGTGCAAATTTCTCCTAATAAGAACATTTTGCACATACAGCCTAACAAGCAGATTCCTCTCATACAATGCATTTTTATATGCTATTTCCAAGAATATAAGCACTTGTATGCACACCCTTCCCCAGCGGCTGACGACAGGGATGGTGGCAGGGAGATCGGGACAGGCAGGCGGCATTGCGCACCAGGTTTCCCAATGCTGAGCTTCACTCTCACTTAATGAGAGGCACAAGGCACGGGAAGCTTAGTGCTTGGTGGCCCAGCCAATTCAATGGTCCTGCCACTGCGATTACACCACAATGAGGTCACTGGGTCCTTTTTTAAAAGTGTGATTTCAATGTCACCGATTTCCTGTTTAGGAGAGTTGCAATAAAGTTCCCCATCAGAGACACAGCATGTCTTCTGGTTCAACAGCAAAATCCTTCCTTAATTTTCTGGCTTTGCTGCAGGTCTGGAAGGCTTCACTACATTTGCAAATGTTGCCGCTTCTGAAGTTTGCAGTATGTTGTTGCCTTTAGTATTTGAGCACTTCACAAAGGGCCCCAATTCAAGCACCTTGCCCCTACATCGTCTTACAAGAAGCAGCCCATCAGAGAACTATTAATACTTCCCCACTGTTGGCTGAAAGTTCTCTCGTCTGCCAAACAGGAGGCAGAAGCTACCAGCACCAGTGGAAACTCCTGAAATGGGACATTTAGGGGCAGACACAGGATCTGCAGGATCCTGTGCAGACTGTGCTATCATCACGTGATGACAATGGGCCCAATCAGACCTAGGAGCTGCTGCAGTATGGGGAGTTGCATTTTCTCCTTGCTCTCTCCTCCTCCTCCTGCCCTGCTGGGGCTGTGGATGCAGCAATCTATCAAATCCCACTTCTACTGACCAAAGATTACATATTGTCCAACTTTTCCAGAGCCAAAACCAGGACGCGCATCATCCAGGTGAGTCACGTGACCTGCACTATGCTCTGAACCCCCAAAAATGCTTTTTCAGGGCTGTGATTGCATGTGATGCCCAAAAACACATTTTTCAGATATTTGGGGTTTTTTTTTAGGCTGCCATGATCTTGCATGGAAAAACAGGATGTCCCATTTTTCCCGGGGCACTTGGGAGATATAAGATCAGGGTTACGCCCTAAGCTAGTAATGCTTTAGTCCTATTGAGATCAATGGGGCTTAAGTTAGTGATACTTGGTCCAACAAAATATTATCAAATCCACAGCTGGCTCAAAATCAATCTGGTTCAATTTTTTTAAGCAGCTCCAAAGGTTTTTCTTCTTCTGAATATGGCAGGATCACACCACGTAATGAAGGAATCACACTCAGCCTTGGTGCAATTTGAATAACATGGAAAGCCCTTCTTAGGTTAGTTAGATAGAGCCAATTATGGTAAGTGCTTCCTAACATTCCTGGTTGTGTTTGGAGAAATCACAATGTGTTTGGATGTCTACACTAGATATTTTAAGACACAATAATTAAGACACAAACCATTTATGTATTCAACAGCTATGATTTTATTGAGCTTAACAGCAGACATTTAAAAAATAGGTAAATTGATTTCCTAACAACAAAATTTGAATTAGGGACCGATACACATTGGAGCTTTTGTGTGTAAAGAAAGCCTTCTTTGACTACCACTAGACCACACTGTAGGTTTATGGGTTTTGTTAGAATAACTCATTTTCTTTTTTTAAAAAAGCCTGCAAACTACAAGATTGAATGGGATGGGGGGAAAGCTGCTGAAAATAGAGCTTTTGCTTTTGAGGTTAAACATTTGGCAACTTAACCATTAAAACCCATAATTGTGTGGATATTTCATTACTAATATCTAGTGCCCAAATTCTGCTCTATTAATCCAATCTTTAATGTGATATGTTTGCAGCCTAGCCGTTTTCAACTGCTTTTGTATCACTGATAGCCGCATGAGATCCAAGTAGCTACACAATCAATGTAAATGCTAAGGCGATTGTTCCATCAAGCCTTTTGCCTTTCCAGATGGCACAATGCACCTTCTCCTCCCCTGCTTCACTCTTCCGAGAGTTCTTCCAACCCCACTAGAGCCAATTCGCAGTGTGCCCTGGGAAGCTAGCCCCATTGTGGAAGCCCTTAGGGCTTCCATTGACAGGACTCACTTGCTGAATCTAGATTTTACGTTTTATTATATGCTCAGATGTTATGACTGAAAGGAAGAAATAACCACCTCACTGCATGGAACAAAGTTTATCCTCGGCGTGTTTAGCTTTCCATGTGCATTAATGTGTTTGACATGGGTGAGCATGAAAACATGGAATAGTAGTTTCATTTGAGGTGGGTAAGTCCTGGGAGGACTGTACCACATACATTACATGATCTTTAGAGCTGGCTTTCAGACACATGGGCTTATTGGTCAGTGTTGATGGTGATTGTATTCCAGCAATATCAGGAGGTCTTGGGTCCCTACCCATCACATTTCATTACGTATAGTGCTGTACGGCTGACTCGGCTTATCACCAATTTGTGAAGTAGGGGAGTGAATCTGTAGCCCACTCCTGCATAAGATGATCTCCAAATCTAGACCAGAGAGGCTGCAACTGACTTTCTTTTTTTGAGAATGTATTTGCTCTTTGCCCCTGGTGCATCCTTCCACCACTGATTACACCCTAAAGAGTGAAGAAGACTGGTTTTGTCTTACTTAAGTTTACTATCTCCCCCTCTCACACATTGCATCTAATACTTCCCTGCTCTCACATGCCTTTACTTTTCCTACTTAGCCCAACTTTCCTCCCCTCCTTCTTTCCTCCCCTTTCCCAAGGGTTCTAGAATGGAATGCTTGCTTCCATTTCACCTTTGAACCCTCCAACTGCTACAGAAGCAACAATTCCCAGAACATGCGCTGCTTTCCGCTAAGTAGACATCACTCGAGACATGCCATAGCCTAACAAAATGGCTGAAATGCAGCAAGAACATATCCCATTCTTCACTCATTTAATCATTATTCCTCATGAGCAAAAGCCATCAAAATATTCAATGCACCATTACATTATTACTTGACTGGAGAAGGAGAAAGAGAAAAGATGGATTTTTTTCCCTAGCATGTGTTGTTTCCATGAAAGCACACTTAATTTTGCCTTGCTAATGGCCAAAACCATGTGAAAGCTTTGATTTTCTACATTGCTTAAAACAAGCCGAGGGCTATATTTGTCCAATAGCATTGGTGAATCTCAGTGAATATCCTGGGTTAGAAATACAATCTCAATGTGGAAATTGTATATGCTTTTGTCTAGCTCAGATATCACCCAGGAATGGATTTTAGTCCATGCTAACATCATGCATTATACAGATGGCTAAGCAGCTCTGAGTCTGGTCAGCGCCTGGGTGGGTGACTGCCTGGGAACTGCATAGCACCACCTTGGCCTGTGATCAGAATAAATAAATATTGTCCCAATTTTATTTTTCCTTACAAACAACTTTCCTTGAGTGGGGGATTTTGATGTTAGATTAGGCAGGGACTGATATGTCATTGGAAAAAGAGAGCATTTAAGCCCTTGTCCCAAGTAAACGTAGTTTTTACGCATGTTTTGCAAATATGGACGAATATACTTTGTGCTAATGTTTTGTAAGACCCCTCTAAGACAAGAAGGAACACAGCTTTCAGAAAATAATTGACTCAGGACTAGTTTGATAAGAGAACCCGACAAAAAAATGTGAGCACAGGACTGCTAGTATTTACAATTATCACAACTTACCTATTGACACACATGCACATTAGTTAAGAATCAGTGCTTTAATGTCTGGGGAGCAGTGGAACATTGTCTTTCAGCAAAAGCAATGAAACACAACACACAAAGTATCTCCCAAATGCAAATGCTAATGTTTATTTCAATCACTCAATTCTGTGCTTTTCTCATGAACAAGCTCAGTCAATAGAGCATGAAACTTGGGTGAAAGATTCCTTCATTGCAGGGGGTTGGACTAGAATTCTATGATTCTAAGGTCTGAATAAAGACAGCCATTGGGGCTTGTTTTAGTCAAGAGAGAAAAAATGTCTATTTTAGGCTCCTTACTGTACCTATATTCTTCTGCACTTGCTACATTTTCACTAAAGGAATTGCTCTGTATAAGTTGCATACTGACCCCTACTTGTGTGGATTGTCCCAGCAACATTGTTCTTTATTCCAAATAACACCTACTTATCACTATCAGAGGATGCAACTGCCATTTCCCACAGTCATTGGCAGTACTGGTTCTCCTGCTTAAATGTTTAATAATCCACTAACCGCACAATCCTATGCATGCCTACTCAGAAGTCCCACTGAATTCAGGCTTTGTCCCAGATAAGTGTGTGTATAGGATTGCAGCCTGCATTTCCCCCTAAGCCAGGTGTGGGGAACATTTTGCCCTCCAGATGTTGTCCCATCATCTCTACCCAGTGGCTGTGCTTGCTGAGGCTAATTGTAGCTGAGTAACATCTGGAGGGCAAAATGTTGCCCGCACTTGCCCTCAGCTGAAGAGAAGAAGGCTATTGAGTTGAAATGGTTGAATCCCCAGATTTCTGTGGCTAAGCAAAGAGAAATCATCTGAGCAGGATGGAATACAAGATTAGAAGGTGCTGGGGTGGAGCGAAACAAGGTAGAAAGCTGCTACAGGTATGATAGAATTTGTTCTGGAACCAAAGGTTGGGCAAACAGAACCACAAGAAAATCAGAAGACTTCAGACCAAATGAGCTTTCATCTTGGAAGACTGCATAGGAGATGCTACAGTACATTTTTGGGTGGTTATTCCTGCTGGAGCAGAGAAATTGAAATACATTCATGCAGGGCTTTTTTGTGACAGTACTGACTGGTTTGGGGCACCAGCACCTCTCTTTTCTTTGCTGCCCATGGCAGCCATTTTGTGCTGGCACCCACGGCACTTTTATCAATTTATGAATACTGGCACATCGTTTTTTTTTTAGTTTTTTTAAAAAGCACTGCATTCATGGAACCAGAAAGAGGCAGAGGGCATGAATCAGCCAAACCTAAGCACTTATGTAATGATTCAATACTTAATTACATGCTTAAACTGCTCAGTTGTGTTTTTTGTTTAATACTCAAGTTTGGCTTGATTATGTCCAGGTAGATTAAGGCAATATGTAGTTGTGCTATTAACACTCTGGTGTTTACTTCCTATATTATGTATCAAGGGTATAAAATATGGAATGTTCCTTTTAGTTCTGGAACCAGGGGTTTCCAGACCCTCAGTAGAAATGCTATTGAATAAAGTATGGTAGCTACACATACTTGGCGGCAAGTAAGATTTATATTACCTGCCAAATAGTCAAGAGGCACTGAATAGGCATTAGAAGCGGAAATAATTGCAATCTCATTAACTTTTAGTTAGTAAGGACTAACCCAAAATTTCACTGGGTGTGGGCAGCAAGGTGTCTTTCTACTAATGGCCCGCTGGCATTTAAATGTGGTCATTAGTAGAAAAAGTGGATGAACAGTGTACTTTATTTACAGTGCTAGAATTGTCGGCAGAAAGTATAAGATCCATGAACTGTGGGAAAAGTCCCAGAAACCATCTTTGAAGATACATGCCTCATTCACATATCTCATGGTTCTGGCCCATTGAGCTGGCTCACTGAATAAACTGGTTGCCCATGAGAGCACTCCCAGAAACCCCTGGAAGCATGTTCTCATGGGTGTATTTATTTTATTTATATCCTGCCATTCCTCCAAGGAGCTCAGGGTAGTATATGTGGGCTTATTCCATTTTCTTCCTCACATTCCTGTGATGCAAATTAGGGTGAGAGAAAATGACTGGCCTCAAGTCACCCTGCAAACTTCATTGCTGAGTGAACCTAGGCCTCCTCCACTGTCCCAACACACTTAATTGATGCCCCAAGAGTGACCTGGGTATTTCCACATATGACCAACAGACTTTTGCATGGATGGCAAGAGGCATGCTTCCTAAATATTTGAGCTAGTTTAACTGAGATCATGAGCTAGACAAGGCTGCAAAGAAGAAGGAAAATCACCTAAGGTGGTTGAACTATATAGCAACACTGTACATGAGTTACCTGGGATCTTGTCAGTGTTAATGGATTCAGAAACAAATCTTAATCTTTAAAGCAAGTCACTACCGGCTGTAGAGAGTACCTTGTTTCATGACAGACCCTCAGATATTACATCTGAGACTAGAGGCAGAATGCTCCTGTGGGCCCAGAACGCAGTGGCCCAATTAAAGCCCACGCACACGTGCAGCTCTGAATAAAGCTAGTCAGCTGCCCAGGCTGGAAAAAGTGAGGGAAGACTAAACAGATGGCGCCTGCTTCTCATCCCGAAGCCTGGTCTGCTTTTGCCCTGGAACTGCATATGCGCAGACCTGACTGGTGAATCATGCATGCAGCAGCCATTTAAGTGCACCATCCCCTATCTGGTGAGGAGCACACATTGGAAAGCCTGCTTCCTTGCACACGTGGTCCCTAGCTGGATCAGGCTAGCTGACCCAGGGTGAATGGGAACTACACCCCATTGCAGAGAATGGGAAGTGGCCTGCAGAAACGTCAAGGCAAAACAAGTACGGTATATGGAATTTTGTTCAAACAGTGTGGCAACTGGAGAGAAAGGTCTGCATACATGTACATGCATACATGGAAAGGACCAGCTCTGAGCAAAGGAGACAGACCTGACCTAGCTGCTTGGACCTGGGCTTTGGAGTTCTCCTTTTGAAAAAGCCGAGAGCAGAGAATCCCCCAATGTAATAATTCTCCATTAGATTGGTGACAATATTTTGTTACTGGGTGGTTGTTGTTGTTTTTCAGAAACATGCTTCTGGCATTTATTGTCTCAGCTGGAGGCTAACAAGAGTCAGATGAGATGATCTCAAATGTCCCTTCCAACGCTAAGATTCTATGTAAGCCTATGATGCAAGGCCTGTATTTTATCTGAGTTTTGCATTCAGAGGCACTTCACAAATAATGAATATTATCACGATGATTAACTTATCTTGCCTTCCCTCCTCTTGTTTCAGCATCATTAAGGGGAAATGGGACCCAAGTCTGTTAAAAAGAGCCAGCCATGATTGTTTTGCAATTCAAACATCTGCAGAAGCTTGACTGCTTTGAAAAATAAAATCTGTGTAGATGAATCGAGTACCTGAGAGTCTGGGACAGTAATAATAGTAAGTAGTAAGTCTCAGGAAGAGGAACAGGAGAGCATCTCTGCCTATTTGCTTCTTCACTCACCCTCCCTTCTCAAAATACCCCCCCCCACCCTACTGGTCCAATTCTCAGCCATCACGTGTTCAGATCAGCGTTTTCCATTCAGATTCTATGGACATTAACTGACCTGTCTGAAACCCTCTCTGATTTTAAATAGATCCCCTGAACCCACCCCAGCATCAATTTTAAAATACAGGAAATTCCCTTCAAGCTGTGTACACACAGATACACACTGAAATTGGACGATAAGAATACATATGTGAACACCCCCAGCCCCCAGTCCCCCCCTTTGCCTAACACCTTCCCCTTTGTTGAAACCCAGCTTCATTTATGGAGGTAGGCATCCAACCAGAGTGCTCCAGATTTCTTTAGGGACCTGTGGAGGAAGAAGAAGAGAGGCATGGCATTCCAGTGTTGGCATTGTCTCTAGAGCCATGTTCCTGCATTTACTTGTGCGTAGGATACTCGCATGTAGCAACGGGGTGGGGTCATGCTTCTCAGTCCTGTCTCAGGTGTTGCATTCCTGTCGCTGCACACCCCCCCCAACCTTTTCAGAGGACTGGAAAGCAAACTCTTCACACAAAGCAGGGCACACAATTGTGTGAGCGTCTTCTTCACATGCAGCCCCTCTGCAGGAGCAGCTGCTTGCATGAAGAGTCTCGCTTTCAGACCTCCACAATCAACATGGAAAGATCAAGGGTGGATGCAATGTCAACGGCAGTCCTGCTCCTCTTGCTATATATGTGTGCCCTAGGTAAAGGTAAAGGGACCCCTGACCATTAGGTCCAGTCGTGGCCAACTCTGGGGTTGCGGCGCTCATCTCGCTTTATTGGCCGAGGGACAGCTTGCAGGTCATGTGGCCAGCATGACTATGCCGCTTCTGGCGAACCAGAGCAGCGCACGGAAACGCCGTTTACCTTCCCACCGGAACGGTACCTATTTATCTACTTGCACTTTGATGTGCTTTCGAATTGCTAGGTGAGCAGGAGCTGGGACTGAGCAACGGGAGCTCACCCCGTCACGGGGATTCAAACCGCCAACCTTCTGATTGGCAAGTCCTAGGCTCTGTGGTTTAACCCACAGCACCACCCACGTCCCTCCTTGCATGTTACTTGCATGGGTGCCCTACATGCAAGTAAAAACATGAATAGGGCTACACTCATCTTCCCAAATCTGGATTTATAGAGCATGTTGATAACAACCTATATTTAAATTGTGAATTCCAATAGTTATTTAATGACCAAGGCACATTGTCTTCCTGGACTGTTCTTCCAATGGATTGCACAGGAGCATTTAAATGCCTGTTAAGGTGCCTGGCATTCCAGTGCTGCCTCCTTTTCTCCTTCCATTACCAGGTTCCAGCATATCATTTGTTTCATAAACGCTGTATTTGTCAATTTCATCTCGCTCTGCCTTTTCTCTTTCACAACAACCTAGCAAAGCTGGCTGGCTTGACCAATGGCAACTACTGTGGTTTAAAAGGAATAGGCAAGGTAATGTCCACAGGCCAAGCTCACTTGCAGAGAATTCCCAGCTCTAAACATGTCTGCGGCAAATGTCTGCACAGCAGTTGAGTTGGTTGAAGGTTCTGCCAAGGATATGGGCTACAGGCCTTGCGATGTCTTGCCAGATTTTCTAGATGCGCTAGGTGAACACACTGAAAACCCCCGCCCGTTCTCTTACCCAACAATGTCTGAGAATGCTTTCATGATAGGCTTTTCTTCATAAGGGACATTGTACTTGGCACAGAGGGACCTCACCAACGGTGCTATCTTGTGGTAGTTGTGGCGCGGCATCGTGGGAAACAGGCTATGGTAAAACAGAAAGGAGAAAGCTTGAGGAAGGCCTCCATAGATTCTGTCCTTGGGGAAATGTACTGCACTGCCTTGCACGTTTGCTTACAGGAATAAGCAGCAAAATGTAGTAGTAGAAGAAGGGACTGTACCCACTTCAGACTACAAGTGTGTGGTCTCTGCTGGTAGAAAACTAGCATTGTATGGAGGAGGCTGGGTTAGAATCCTAGACCCTGATGCTGGGTATTACCTGCAGTAATTTTTTTAACATGGGAAGGCATTCAAAAGTAGCCTCCTCATCTAGTAGCTTGAAGGTGAACATCCCTGTACATCACCTCAAGGCTCTGCCAACCCACTCTGCTGCCTGAGTGCATGGCTGGTGCTGGTGTGTGTGTGTGTGTGTGTTGTCAGTGCAGACAGTCCAGCACTGAAACATTAGCAGAAGTCATCCAAACATCATGAGCAATTGTTTTCTGCTTTTTGTATCTAACACCGGGGTTTTATTTCAATCATATTGTAATGTTATGTTCTTTTGCTGTTAGGCACTGTAACCACTTAGTGTGCAAGTGTGGGATAGAAATAATTATTTCAAAAATAACAAGGTAATAATTACCTTGCTTTTCGCCCTTCCTTTTTATGGGTTTCTAGTTCCCCCAGGGGGATTCTATTGTATCTTATGGGGTCTATTCTTTCTAGCAAAGTTCCTTCAGGCCCAAACATTGCATACTTACTGGTGCTCTATTTGAAAGTTCAGGTGTCCACTGAACCAGTCGTTGAAAAAGGATTGTTCAATGTTGCAGGTAGCTGCCAACTGCAGAATTCAAGGAGACAAAACAGTGAATCGTAATGAAGCCCAGACTTGGAAGCAGATCAAGTGGATTTCATAACAAGCTCTGCTCTTCTGTCACTGTCTGTGGTTCTAATGCCACACTCTGCCATCTTCTATTCTAAAGCCACAATCCAAGGAAGTCTCAGATTGCACCTGTTTACACAGGAATTCCCTTGATCTCTCTACCAATCTCCGGTTTTAATTGCTGTGTTGTTTTAAGGGGATTGCTTTATTCCCTCTTTTAATTATGAATGTTTATATTTTAAAGTTCGTGTCACTGGTTTTTATATTTTCAAAATTGCCAAGAAGCCCATTTTGGCACATAGAGGTTTAATAAATTAAGAAATAATAGTAATTGTGCAAGGGCTTCCATGTGGCCCTCTTGTTTAAATGAGGGCCATCTAATTTAAGCAAATGTTCTTCCCATGGCCACTGCACTGCTTAAATAGGCCCATCAGTTTTGGAAGCCTGAACCAAGAAATCTAATGTTGGAAATAGTTATAACACGCGGTCTGGAGCCACTTCAAATATACCTTGTATAGATGGCAGCAAAGAACTTCATGGAAGTCTGTAGTGCAGTTGTCAGAAATATGACATTCACTCATATATCAATGGGGAACGGGCTATCTACCACCAAAAATGTAATTTTAAGGGTTAGTTATGGCAGAGGTCAGGAGCAATTGGAGGGTTGCTGCTGCTCTGCACATGGCCTACCAGCAGCAATCACTGCTCCTTATTGGGAGGGAGAGAAGGGAAGCTGCTGGGTGCAGTGTGGGGGCATCGACAGAGACCATCTGCCACTCCCACTGATCTGCCTGCACAGCACCAAACTTCCTCAGTTAGCTTTATTTTTAGAAGAATCCCATGACACGGACACAAAGGCTTAAGTTTTCCCCAGATTGCACCCCACAGTGCAATCCCAGAAATCCCACCCAGTTCAGTGGCCCTTGCTGTCTCATTAAGGCTGTGCAAGATTTCAATAGTTCAGACTTTAGCGACCCAGTTTACCTGAGCACTGAGCCAATCTCTGTGCTTGTCATTGTCGATTTCCATTGGGATGTGATTCATCTGTGTGACCCATACAAACCAGTGACTTTCCATGAACCTTAAAAAAGGACAAGGGGGGAAAAAGACAAAAACCACACAATTCAGCCTTGTATATCTGGATAGATTAATCCTTGGACAAAACTGTGCTCCGTTAGTGCAGGGGAAATGGAATTCTTGCCTGAATAATCAAAGGAGAGCCTCCCCCATTCTGTGCAGACAAACATCTTAGTGGTTGCTAGGTTTTCCAGTGGAAAGGGTAATTGGCATTTTGCTCTGCCTTTCTATATTGTGAGACACTTTCCATTTACTTATTTAATAATTTGCATATTCATTTTCTATCCTAAGCAGAGACAAAACAGCTGTTCATTTGGGATAAAAGAATGTAATTGGACTTCAGCTCCCATCATCCCTAGCCACTGCCCATGCTGGCTGTGACTAGTGGGAGCTGAAGTCCAACTACATCTATTGGCCATCAATTCCCTGCCCCTGCTGTAGCCAGGTAGCCTGCATTTTAAGCAGCTCAAAGAAGAAGTGACCTGGCTAGGAAACCCCCCAAATAATAGACACCCCAGCTTCATAGCAGACTGTGTTTCTTGTATTTACTCATGGCAACAGTACTGGGGAAGGAGGTGAAACTGGAATTTTCCACTGGACTGCTTGACATTTTTTTGTGTCTTCTCCAAGGGATTTCGTCAGTGACAATTATAGTAGCAGAAAGGACTGGTTCGTACATGATTATTTTTTCACTTGATAATGGGAGCTTATCTGAACAGCCTAACACAGATACACTGCCAGATTCCCCTCAAGCCCAGGGCTGCTAAATTGAGGGAGTTCACCAGATTCATAGGACTGTCATTTATCCAATGAGTCTGAAGATATAATTTTTAATATACCCTGCATACTGTTACCTTAATAATATTACTGTTTGTCATAGGATCAATTCAGAAATGCATAAATGAAGACAAATGAATGGGTTTTTTTTTTTTTTAATGAATGTGAGCTTTTTGCAAAGATTATCAGAGGACCAGCTGCTGATGGCTATCTGAAATAAACAGGATTTAAAATACCAGAGTATGGGATGGCAACACAACATTCCTTAGAAGAGGAATGTCACATTTCAGGAAAGTTGTACTCATTTGCCTAGAGGTACCCCAGTGGGGGCATGAAAATCCATGCAAAAGAACTTGCATTCTTAAGAACAAGAAACACCATGGTGAGGGTGACAATGAAAAGACCTTGGAATCCTGAGGCCTGCCATGCAATCCCAAAGCCTTCTAGTTCAAAGAACAGATCCAAACATGCTTTGCAACCATCTCTGGTAACTAAATCCCTGCAGAACATGTGTGAATGTGTTGAATGTTTGAGAACTCTTGAATAAATAAAACCAATGAAGCACTTTTGAAAACTGTGCACTCCTGCTCCTCCTCTGATCTCGGGCTGCATTCACGGCACAGCATTTGGTGTACAGTAAACAAGCACAGGGAAACTTTCCCTCAGAAAAAGAGAGCTAAAAGGGAGGAATAAGTTGGGAAGAGATGGGATGCAGCAAAGCCTGAGGTAGAACTAGTCAGCAAAGATAATACAGCGTAGTAGACCAAAGATGGATGACTGAAAGAGGTAGAAACAGTGTGATTAGGCTACTCTGAAGACACTCCTTAGTTCCACTGTTGGAAAGGGGAGTTTCAGCAAGAGGGAAACTTTACCTGACGAAGGTGAGGAGACACAAGGATCCCAGAACTCCATAGAAGGGGATATATAGGGTGAAATAGCGTAGGTAGTAACTGAAGGCCCAGGCCAGGTCCTAAGGAGAAAAGGCAGAGGTTACGTGTTGCAAGGGATAATGCTGCCTCCCTCCTTCCACCAGTGCTCACTTCCACAGAATATGGAGAGAGATGCCTCTTCATTTCCCCCAGGAAGATCTCCTTGGAGTGGCCCAAGCCATTCAACTCCAATGGAATGAATGGGTTTTAATGAAGGCAATGCAGGGTATGGAGGATCTTTCACTTACCGCCCAGAATTTGTGTCTGAACATGGTCATGAAGATTTGCATTTGGAAGTAAACTGGAATGAGGAGAGGTGGAAAAACTGAAAGGAAAACCAGAAGGCATTAGAGGAGGCAGGCAGGCATGAAACATAAGATGGCACCCTGCAGCTGGACAATGACCTTAACATGAAAGTTAGGGTCTGGAGGGAAGTGCTATCACTCTGGGAAAAGATGGCAAGAGATTCTGTTTTGGTCTGTGTTCTATCCAACATCTCAAGATGTTAAAGAGACTAGGATACCTCTGCACCGTTCCAGAAAGGCCCAGTGCTTCTACTTACAACCAGTTCAGCTATCTAGAAAACAGCAACCACCCATTTTAACTGGCATTCTGAACCACTTCAAAGTGCAGGTGGCTAATGCCAAGTTTTAATTCTCCACTAGGACAAATGATTCCCCGTATGTAGGAACTAGCACCTCAGTTTTAGAATAGCTAGCTCTCTGGATACAGAGAATTTACGACATGAGGAAATACTTAAAAATTACACTCTAAAATGCTGTAGTCCCAGGAGGGTTCTCTTGATGCTTGTTCCTAGTTTAACTAGAGTCAGTCACAACTTCTCAGCCTACCCTACATTGCAGGATTGTTGTGAGGGTAAAATGGAGTATGTGGGGAGAAGAACCATGTATACTGCTTCTCGTTGGAGGGGTGGGATAAAAATGAAACAATGGCAGAAAGGATAGAGTCAAGAGAGAAATATGTGGCATGGTTCTGACTGGATTCTATGAGTTTCCAAATATGGAATACAATGAACGCTCAGAAGTGAATGAAAGGAGATCTACCCTATTGCTGCACATCAGAAATGTAGCAGGAGGGATCTTATTTCCTACACAGGGAGGGGCTTGTTAGGACATAAAGAATAACTGTTTAATCGCAAAGGAATTTCAAGCAGGCTCCTGCCTGCACCTACATGTAGGAAAGCGAAAGAAGGAAATGGAGATACTCACCAAAAAAGAAGTATTCGTGCTGATGGTTATATGGGAAGTATTTCAGCTTCTTCTTTCCATACTGAGGAAAAAGAGGAAAAAGGGGCCTTCTCAGTGGTAGCTCCACAATTGTGGAACTAACTTTCCAGGGAGATTTGCCAAGCTCCCTTTCATTTTAGGTCTTTTAGGTGTACTTTGAAGCCTTCCTGTTTCAGAAAGCCTGTTAAGGTTACAATCCTAGGTATGTTGCCTAGGAGCAAGTCTGATTATAATTGCCTTTGTTTTAGTGGACTCCTATTTAAATTGTCATTGTGCTTCTTGTATTGTTGTTATATTGATTTTTTATTGTTTGAAATTGTATTTGTATCAGATTAATATTGTAAGCTTTTTTCTGACGATAGAGGATTATATTCACTCATTTAAGCCCACTTGTTATTACATTTCATTTCTGCTATAATTCCCCCACCCCACCTCCCGCAAGAACCCCTAATACCGTATTTACATGAGCCATCGAATCTAATGCGCACCTCAATTTTCAAAACCTTGAAACAAAAACAAAAAAAAAGAGTATATGCTGGCAAATGTAAATGCGCACCTTAATTTTTGCATTGTAATTTGGCCAAAAAAGGTGCACATTAGATTCAAGTAAATACGGTATTTACAGTCAGGTTTTTAAATATCAACTTTTCTTGTCAGCTGTGGTAAGTAAGAATTGCCATCAGGCAACAAGTCATCATCACCACCACCACCACCACCATAATCTTATTATTTATACCCCGCCCAGTGTATGGGAGGGGGAAATGGAAGGGGGGGCCAAGGGAGGAGAATGTGTCCCCAACAATCATTCTGGGCTGCCAAAACCATGGTTTTAGCAAGATGGGATCTTTACACCTAGGCTCTATGCATAGTGGGGATGGCAGAACTCATTCACCATTCTCCACAGTTTACTGTATGGCGGCTCTTTCCTCAATTTTTTGAAAAACTGAAATGACACCACTTTCTTTTAAAGGTTCGTCGTTGGAAAACAGCACACATATTTCTTGAGCCTGCTGGGTCAAACCGATTGCTTCGCCTTCGCAAAGGTCAGATAAATGCCAATTTTCTGCTTAGATGGACTTTAGACAAGTGCCAACTGGATGATATGCTGACAGTTATGTCCATGAAAGAAAGGAAAACCAGCTTCTTCCTTTTCACAAGTTTCTGTGTGCTGCTAAATCATTTTTCAGTTTTTATTGCTGTTGTTATTATGATCATAATCACCATTTATAAATAATGATATTATTTTTAAATGTTGCATGTTGTACGGTCCGTGCCAGCAGGCTCACAATCTGATAGGTACAATGCTAAGAAGAGTGCAAGCAAATTCAGGCACCTGTTGATAAAGCTACAATTATCAGCTTCGAAATGGCCCAGTGTTGAAGGTTGGCATAGCTCCATTGTTAATTTTGTTTGAACATAATGAACCAGGCCAAATCAAGCGGTGTTCCTCGAGGGCACGCAGCGCTCTAGACACCATGATCAAACAGCATTTCTCTACGACACAAGGTACAACCTGTACACAACCATGCCCAGTTTGCCCCATCGCCTGTTTACTTTGAAAATATTCAGTGCACTCCTCCTGGCTGCGGCTTTGGATTTAACGGCAAGCATCTTCTTAGTATGTGATGCAACAGCACACAGAGGGTTGCTGTGGCAACCATTTTGCAGAGCTCCGCTGAAAACTATGTTTATTTCTGGTTATTATTGGCTGAAGATCATTCTTTGCACTTCTGATCCAGAGTAAACTTGTATTCCAAGAAAACAACCCATCAAAAGGATAACATACAGCTGCAGCGCCCCAACATTATCAAAAAAATGTATCAAAGAATAATATCTTACTGCCCCCTTTTCTTTCCCACCTATAGGAGGTCTATTTCCTGTTTTCTTAGAGGTGGTTCTCATATTAAAGGTGCAGGTGTGCTCTTGCAAGTCACATCTTTAGCTGAGGATAAGTGCACATCTAAGAGTGGGAGAGCACCTGGCCTTGAATGCAGGAGGTCCCTGTTTCAACCCCCAGCATCTCCAGGCAGGGCTGGGAATATCCCCCATCTGAAATCTTGAACAGCAACTGCCAGTCAGTGTAGACAATATTGGCAGGATCCAGTCCTCAAAGCAGGCAGTGAGCTTTCCCTGTTTAGGGAAGTTTTTAATGTTTGATGTTTTATCACATTATTATTATTATTATTATTATCTGTTGGAAGCTGCCTAGAGTGGCTGGGGAAACCCAGCCAGATGGGTGGGGAATAAATAAATAAACAAACAAACAAACAAATAAATAAATTATTATTATTATTATTATTATTATTATTATTATTATTTTATTAGTGCAGCTTCATTCTAGGTGAGTCTTCTGCAAACCAGTCACGTAGAGAAGCCAGCTTTGCTATCACATGGAAGTATGATAGTAGCAAGGATGGCCTCACAGTAGCACCAAATGGCCAGTTCCATACATGAATGAAACTGCCTTCAACATGACATGTGACTGCTTTTTAGGAGAACTCTAAAGACTCCCCCCCCCCCCCCGTCAGCTTTTGGATGAAGATAGGTCAGTTTTATTCTGGTGATGCTGTGCCAAACATCATGTTTTCAGATGTGCTGTGCTGTAGATCATGATTTTATGGTTTTAATAATTTGTGTCTTAATGGGCCCTGAAAAGCAGCCTATAACTAATACAATAATAAAACCATTCTGTTGTTATTGTTGCTTGCAGATAGTCTCCGAGTCATTGGCTCTGTCATCCAAATCCAAGGTTGTGCCTAATGAAGTCATCCCATTATTAGCACAAGGGGTTCCACTGTGCAACAGGACTTCCTCCCCCTCCTCTCTCCTTGCATGCCCCCAATCCTCCAGAGCCGATGGGGGCGGGCAAGAGACTTACAGGGAGAGGAAGTCCCATTGCATAGGTGGAAGTCTTCGCACTAATGAGACAGCTTTGTTTGATACAACCCATAGCATTTAATTCATATCCAACTGGTATGAAATTCAGAGTCCTAAAACTGGTAGGGTCAGTATTAAGCCACGGATTAGAATGTGGATGACAGTTTTCCCCTACAAAACTTGACCAGTCACAAAGTCCAGATAAACTGGCCTGCGAAAGAGTTTTGCCCCTCTTGTTTGCTAGTCATTGAGGTGCCACATAACTGTGCTGGGTTCCCGTCCCCCCACAAACATGCGAAGCGGGTTCCCAACTCTTGGAAACAAAATGCAACTTGATTTCACACCCCCTCTTCTTACCTCGACAGGCTGCGTGTCTCCCAGGACAAAGAGGTGCACCATGTTCACGTCCGGATCCTTCTTGAAGATGTTTGGCTTCGCATGGTGCTGGAAGTGACGGTGATTCCACCAGTTTGCTGAGGCGCCCTGCAGGAAGAAAAGATTTGCACGGTACATGGGGAACTCTGCTTTTTCAATGCATTCGTGTACACAAAAAGATGCCATGCAATATTATAATAATGAAAGGGGCTGGGAACTAGGTACAATAGTCAGTTTGGCTCCCTCAAACTCTTAGCTCCTTTTTCCTCTTGAGGTTTGAGTACCAATTTAAAGCGGCGGACCAGAAGGCCAGCTTGCTGCTCATCACTGGCCTGGTAGGCCAGCTGGCTGTTGGGGCTGCTCCAGATCATTTCCAAAAACTCAGGACAGACAGAAAGCCTTTGCTCACAAAGAAGCTTTCAATTCCAGCCCCAGGCCATATTTATGGAAAGCAAGTACAACACCTATTCATAGACCCTGGAGGTCCCCAGAGGAAAGCAAGGAAGCCTACAGCTTGGAGCAAACAATGTGGGCATTATTGAGAAATTAGCTAGCCAGTCCCAAAAGCCTTATCTGGGTTTTATGTGGCAAGGATAAACTGCTCCAGCCAGCATTCCTTACTGCTCCATGGTTTGTGATCTTGAATGATAATCTGAAAGGAGGTACATAAAAGAATGGCCATGAATGTCCATTCCAGGTGATGCTAGTCTTGCTGCTCTGTTTCTTTAACAGTTGCCTGGTAACTGCAGCAACAAAGCTTTTCCTGACACTTTATCTCCACACCAGGAAAAGCTTAATCTGCTTTCCATCTGTGTGTCAGGTTGCTGCTAAAGGCACAGGAGCTGGAGGGGGGGGGAGGGAGTTGACAGTCCTAGGTGACATACTACTGATTCTCCTGGAGTATTTCAAGTTGGTGGTTCTTAGCTGTGATTGGCTGGCTAGATCTGTTGAATTTCTGCCTTTCAGGCACAGGCCCTCTGTTGGTTAAAAGGTGGTAACTATTATTGGCTCGATCCTTATCTTCTGCCATAGCTCTTCAGCCTATTAATGGATTCTTGCAAGAAGTGATTTCCTCATCCTGAGCTCTTGAGCCTCTAAACTCATTGTATTTATTGTGAAATCTCTTGGACTCAGATCTTCCAGCTTCTGAGCTCTGAATTTATAAAATCCCTCACTTTGGGGTAAAACAGGTGAGACATGCTTTGATCCGGAATGTCCACACACTGATTCCATTATTTTTTTTCAATTTTATACATTTCAATTATTTTACAATCATTTTAATATTTCAAAACATGACTTTCTTCCCCCTCTTTCTGCAGTTCCTTAGATTTATTTTTAATATTTTCTGCATATCCAAATTAACTTAATTTGCTCATTTATTCATCTACTTTATATGTATACTCTTTTTAAAAATCTCTTGTAATACTTTCGGGATTGACTCTATTGGATCTTCTACAGATATCACCACGTTGTCTGCAAATGCTTTTAATTTATATTGTCTCTGTCCCACTCTTATACCTTTAATATCTTGATTACATCTTATTCTTTGCATCAATACTTCCAAACTATTATAAACAACAAAGGTGACAACGGGTAGCCTTGTTCCTTTAGTTATTCTACCATTCTCCGTCAGGATTCCTTAACAAACTTAAAGGGAATAATATAGTCATACAAGTTTGACTGTGGCTAATGGTTCAGATTTTGAAGGGAATTTATATATATATACATATATATTGCTTGAGATACATTTATGTCAGTTCACAAGCTATACCCTCTGTGGGCACAACAACCTGTTCATCTAGAATAGATTCATTTCAGCTTATTCCTTGCTAAAGCAATCAGACACAAGAGCTAGAATTTACTGTTTTTTATCACTTGGAAGAGTGAAGTAAGCTAGCCTCCAGCTAAGATTGTGCTCTTTTTGTCCTGCTCCCTTAAAAGCTGCATGACAGGCAGAAATCCAACAGGCACAGCACTTCCCAGTGATGGGGAATGCATGATCCTTGGGATCTTTGTCAGTTCAGAGGTTTTTAAAGACACACTCCTGCCAGGAGAAAGATGGCAACCTTAACCCCATCATTTCTTACTGCAGTTATTTCCTTAATGGGAAATGACCTTACCTTCAAGTGACCAATCACAAACTTATGAACTAAGTGGTTCCATGTAGACTTCTTAAACACAGAGAGGTGTCCAAAGTCATGCTGTAGCCATCCAGCCTGGGCCTTGGGAGGAAAGAGAATGATCATGAGAGAGAGGAAAGGCATCCCTAAGAGAAACTTTATATCAAAACCTAACTATAAGTGCTTTCTCTTCAGTTTCCTTTACATCAATGGTTCCCAAACTTCTCCCCACTCTGGACCACTTGAAAATTGTTGCAGGGCTTTGTGGACCACTTAACGATTTCCCTGGCTGTTCTAGCAATTGTAATGTGCTGTATGGTTAGATGCTGTATGGTTTTTTAAATTGTTCTTTTATTGCTTATTTTATTTTTTACATATTGTGTTTCATCACAATACAAATTGTAGGTTTATTTTTTGAGGGTATTTTGATTCAGTTGTATTATAATAGGGAATGAAACACAACACAGTATTAAAGATGGCCCACCCTTCCAGTAAAGATTGGCAATTAATAAGTTACAAGTTGTTCCATGCTATCTTCAGTGCCTTTTTGAAGCAGTGACAGTATGTAATTTTCAAGGCATGGATGAACTAGGAGGCAGGTGACTGCCCATTCAATATCCATAGAACCAAGTTTCACCTGGGAAACTGCAAGGACGATGGCAAGGAGGAAGGTTGTAATCCAATTAGTACCACAGTATGAAACCATAAGCCAAGCCAGAGCCTCCATCACAAGGATATGACCCAAGTAAAGCGAAAAAAACACAGGATCCGCTTGGAATAAGTTCATGTCTTCTGCTGTCTTCCTCAGGGCACGGAAATCTTCCACCAATTGAGACTGCAAAGTAGAAAAAAAAGGATATTAAAAGAGGTCCTCTAGATACCAAAGGGACTTAGGCACACTAATTTTATTTGGATTGCAAATTGTGTAAAAGAAAATTATATGCCAGTGTTTTTGGCAACAGCAAGATGGCTCTCCCTCTCTGAACAAATGCATCTCTCTCGATGAGAAAGAACACAAAACAGACTCTCCCACACACAAACATCCAGAAAAGCCCATCCATGAGTGAAGGAAGTGCCTGCCATTTCCACATTTCCCAATTTATTTTGTCTATTTCCCACCCCGCTTTAAAAAACAATAATAACCACACAAGAAAGGGCCATTATAACCTTGGCAAGGGTACAATGCTGAAGCTTCGTAAGGAAAGTGGGGGCGAAGCGGAGGGGGGGAGGAGTCTGTAGACAGTTATGCAGACTCAGTTCTGCAAAACTGTGGAAATACTGCAGCATAAAACTCAACCGTTTTCCAACTGCCCCTGCCTGCAGCCCCAATTTGTTTTCCAAAATACCCCTTTCTGCGGGAATAGATTTTGGAACAGCACAGCCTCTGTTTGCAGCAAAAATCATCCAAGACTCTCAGCGTTTGTCACTGCACTGCACTGCACTGACTGTGAATGCACCCTAGAAAAGGTTACCAGATGCCCCCGTTTCCCGGGGACAGTCCCCGGATTTACAAATCAGTCCCCTGACAAATTCCATTGAAGTTGAAAAGTGTCCCTGGATTCATTGAAAAAAATCTGGTCTTCTGCTTTGCACCTTACTAGGGGAGGTCAAGATTTCTTTCACAAAATCTGGTCTGCCATTACAGTACTGAACTCCTCATGGAAGAGTCTCTGATAAGCTTTCTAGGAAACCCTGCTGCCTGCTGAAATGTAGTCTGAACCGCTATTCCCTTTGGCATAGGAAGCCCTCAGCTCTGCAGAGTGGTGTTCCTGAGGGAAAGCAGCTCACGAGGCACCTGCAGGTTAATGTTTAGACACTGGCTGGCTGTCATCAATGCAGTCATCCAAGAACGAGAGGCGGCAGAAAGGGCTTCCTTTTGCAATCAGCCAAGTGGGACGAAGTGCCTGAATAATTGATAGCCGGAACATTTGGGATTTGAGGGATCCTGAGTGACACGGCGACGTGAGGCCCGATGGGAAAGACATCTGTGGATCTTGTTTGCAAAGCTGCCCTCCAGGCCAGAGCTTAATATTTCAGATTATGAGAGATCTACGCATGGCTGGTTTCCTATCCATTTGGAATATATATGGACGACTGGTTTGGTTATGTGGCCAGTTGTACTGGGAACAGACTCCTGACAGGCCCATGAAAATTCTCTGGACGTTTTATGTTACTTGGTTAATTTACATTCAGGACTCTTCGTTTCTTTGCAACACTCCCCCCTCCTTCTCCCTGCCTCCTCTTCTATACCTAGGCCTTGTGTGAGGTTTTCCTTCAGAATATTGATTCTGTGACATAATAGCAACTCATCTAATCTCTCTCTCAAGCTCTCTCTCTCTCTCTCTCTCTCTCTGTGTGTGTGTGTGTAAAAGTCACAGGTTTATTTCCAGCAGGCTCCTTTTCCTGTCTCTCGTCTTCGTATGTCGTCTCCCTCCAGCCTTCCCTTCTCTCTCCCTGCTTGTTTCTTGCAGCCTGTTTTCTTCAGGACTACATTTATCTTTATCACAACCTCCCCCCCAAAAAAAAATTGTATGGCATTTGCATATATTTTTGTTTAATGTTAAGTTGCTTGGAGACCTTAGGGTGACTAGCGACTAATAAGCTTAATAAATAAAGAATAAATTATCTGCACATTAAAGGCAGTCAGAAGCACTCCTGAAGCCACATGTCTCTGGAGATGTGTCCCTCCCCCATTCCTCATTAAGGCATCTAACAAAACAGCTCATCTAATAGCTAGGGATGGCTTTCAAATGGAAAGTTAATTGCAAACTTGTGTCCGCCTCATGCTTTATTCTTTACAATTCCTTTTCTTTCTTTTTACAGCCTGTGTGACCTTGGGTGGTGGTGGAATTATCGTCACAATTTCCCATCAAATCATTGTTCTAGTTCTTTTTGGAGGATTCTAAGATACAGCATTTATTAAGCAAAGTCAATGTTGGTAGGTTGGACTTACATTGTCCTAAGCCCATCTGAGAAAAGGGAAACCTCTAAACCTGAAGTTTACTAAATATTACACCTTCCCTAAAGCCTTTTTTTGCACATACAGCAAAAGGAGGTAGCAGTAGACTCCAGGGACATAGTACCTCAGTTCAAATAAAGCAAAGGCAAGCTGAAACCCAAGAAGTCTTGCAGTATCAGTTCTTCCTATTGGTCTACAGTGTCAAATATCCACTGTATTACAACCCTTGATACAGTTCTGGATGGTACTATTTAATCCTCAGATGAATCAATGTTCTATGCTTTCTTTGACACCTCAATCCTATAATGTATTTTATGACCCTATAGAAATGTCTACACAGAAACCCTGAATCTGGCGTTATGGCATAATCATTGTGCTGATATTTTCTGTGTTTTCTACTGCTATCCTGTTTTCTTTCTTGGGTATCCACAGACTAGTTTAAACTCTGATCAATATATCTGTGTAGTCTCAAGGTATATTACTTTGCAGGAAAATATCGAATTTGGGCCTGCAGCCTCCAAGTGCATGCTACTGTCACTGGTTCATGCCTATCCACATACAAAGAACTCCCAGAGCTTGTGAGGTAGGACTGCACTTTGCAGAAGCCAGGCTATGGTTACCATATTTAAAAAAGTAAGTGGCAGCCCTACTAATTCATCTTCACCAAGTTTCTCCCATGGGATAAATAATTTCAGCTTTTAAACAGATTTGCCTGGGATAGGCTGGATTGTCTGTAAGATACTCCCCTTCCGACACTCAGTGCAATTCTTCAGTCTCCAATGAACGTTTGTCCTCCAAATAACCACTTCAAATATTGTGACACACTTTACAGAACAAGCTCATGAGAGATACTAATGTAGAGTAAAACACAAAAAAGAAAACTGACTCCAGATCAGGGGTGCAGACCCTCTGGCCCGTGGGCCAAACTTAGCCTGATGGCATCCCTATTTGGGTCGCAAGGTTGTTTTGGCCAAGCCATATCCACTCATCATGAACTTGACATCATATATGACATTAGGTGTGAGGCAAGTAAGGACAAAGCCTAAAAGGAACAATGGGCACTTTAAGGGGAACTCCTGTTTGCTCTTTTGCTGGAGCAAGACACGCTTTCATCGGCCATCAGTTGATGGCTGGCAGGAACATGCTGGCAGAAACTTGCTCCAAGAGGGGAAAGTGGTTTCCATTGAAACTGTGGTTATGGAAAGCACTTCTCCCTCACAGTACTGCTCCTTGAACGTCTGAAAACCAGAGGGCTGTTTGAAAGCCCTTCTGCAAACAGCCCAGTGCCATCCTTCAAATATTCACTGAACACATAGGGAAAATTGCTCTTACTCACGTTCTGGCCTCTGTCTTGGCTGGGTTCTCCTGGGGCAAGTTCTCCAATCAATAATGGCTTAAGAAACTTTCTCACAAACACAGGATCAGGGTGAAAGGCCTTAAATGCATCCTAGAATGAAGAAATATACAATTGCTGTTCAAAGAGCTGTTACCCACTCTTCCTTATATCTCATAATCATTTTCCCTTTAGGATCTAGAAACTTCTTTCTACATGCAAAAATCCTGCATGAGCCAGTGCAGAGCTAATTCCCCGAGTGGTTTGATAACCAATCCCTCTTCTCAGGGAACTCTGGGAATTGTAGCTCTGTGAGGGGAATTGGGGTCTCCCAACAAGTCTCAGCACCCTTAACAAACTACACTTTAGGGCAGGCATCCCCAAACTCAGCCCTCCAGGTGTTTTGGGACTACAACTCCCATCACCCCTAGCTAACAGGAGCAGTGGTCAGGGATGATAGGAATTGTAGTCCCAAAACATCTGGAAGGCCAAGTTTGGGGATGCCTGTTTTAGGGGAAGCCATGACTTTAAGGTGGTGATACTGGTTTAGATGTATTGTGCAGACGGGGCTTTATTGTAGAAATCAAATAATATTCCTTCTGATTACACATTCCCAACACACACACACGCACTAGTATATTACATTGAAAATCTCCATCTTCCAGCATATTTATTAGTAGATAAGCAAACAGAAAACAACATGATATTTTCACAGCCAAAGAGTGAGTGGGTGGCAGAACTAGGAATCCTAATCTTATGGTGCTTTATTCCTAGGGACTGGTCTGACTCAAGTCATTGTCTCTAATGAGTCCTTTGTTGTCCTTGCTTATGGAAAAAAAGGAAACCTTAATTAGCAAGATTAGCTTCAGCAGCTTAATTCACTTGGGAAAAGCACTGGAACAGGGGACAAGGAGAAAATAAATTAGAAAATGCTGGAAAGGAGAAAACAAGATAGGAAATAATATACAGATAAGGATAGCTATTAAAGCATAAATGTGAGGCACCATGGAAATTTTATCACCAAATGTGATCTCTGTGTGCAAGCTGCTACCTGAATCTGCAGTCATCAAGAAACGAACAAGCATGTGCATAAACCTAAAGGATTTGTAACTGAGGGAAATTTCCAACTCCTTATCTTCCCCTAGAGCCATATAAAATCCCTAACTCCTTCCTAATTCCCAGCAGACAACACTCTTGCTTAAAGTTGTGCATTGCTAATTCACCTTGCGGCAACATAATCTAAGGCTGGGCGCACCCAGACGATGAACATTTTGGTGTGCTCATTAACTTCCAGAGTCTACATGAAATGAAGGCTTCACCTTTAATTGGTACCAAATTTTTCCATGTGGTGAACAGGCGTTGTTGGGGGTACTGGAGCACAATTTTCAGCCTGCAGCACAAAACTCCTACTGTCACTGAAAGAGGATCAGATTTGAGAGAGCTATCTGCACTGTATAATATAAAGCCAAACAAGGGGAGTATAGACAACCATTATGTGGGCAGGCCCTTTGTGCCACTCCCTGTCAAAACACTGGATGCAGCATCACTGGACTTCTTCCTCCTCCTTTTGAAACGAGTATAAACCTGAAAAAAGTGAAGGAAAGAAACCCTTCCCACATACTTCAGCCCCCTCTGATACCCAAAACAAATGGTACAGTGGCTTGGAAGGAAAATGAAAGGTTGTGGGATGGGGGGGGCAAGCCAGGGAAGCTTGCTGCTGAGTCACACAATGCCCACCAAAGAAACAGCTAAGTGTTTAGGGAGATGACAATTGGCCTTACAAAAGATACTGGATAAGCACTGTTTAATGCTAGGGAAAATTTGAGCCTCCTGGGAACCGACTAATGGTCTTCATTACAACCCAGTAACTGTACCTTGCTAGCACTGGATTAAAGGACCTGGCAAGCCCTCTACTGGGATCATATTCTGGGATCATAGGCCTTTCTGACTTATATGTCAGACTCATATACTGCATGCACACCACATTTTCTTTGCAAAGCAGCCATGCTATTTTGTTGAACAGATATCCATCTCTTTCTAGGTTCTTGAACACATTGCTAGCAGATGGCAAGCAACAGTGGCATCTCCTTGGGAAGCACTAAATGGCTTCAAAAATGCACTGTGAATGAAGTCACACTTGCAGTAAGGGTTTATGCAGTCTGAACCTGGCCAAACAGGAGACAGTCCTATGGTCTTGGAATTGGCTGGCGGAAGCTTCAAGGGCTCGATGTGACTTTGGGGCTTGCACTATCAGCTTCCTTGCTACCTGCTCAAACTGTGTGTGTGTTTGTGTGTGTATATATACAAGGTACCGTAAGTCTCTATCATTGCCTCACCCAAAATGAAAAACTAGCTTGCAACATCCTAAAGAAGGTGATCAGGCCTGTCACCACACTCCTGAAGTTCAAACAGAATTATGGTGGCAAGCAAGCAAGCAATGGTCACCTTCAACAATACACTTGAAAGAACATGATGCTGCAGATTTGGCTCTGTGTGTCCCCCCACCCCCATAAGTACAAACACTTCCACATGTGCTGGTTCATGAGACTGATAGCTTTGTAGTGGATGTACAACATTTGGGAGAAAGAGCATTCATGAAATCCTAGAAGGGATGAAAAGGCAATGCAGCTAAACCAGTGACAAAAGCTGGGAGCCATCAAACTTGCTTCTGCAAGTTGGGAAACTGTCATATCTGGTAACCTCTAGGTTAGATTACTGCAATGCATTTTACACTGGGCAGCCTTTGAAGACACTTTGGAAACTACAGCTAGTGTAGTATGCAGTCGCAAGATTACTGACTTGGTCCAGAAGGTCTGAGCACATTACACTGATTCTGGCCTGACTGCATTGGCTACTGATGAGTTTCCCAATTCAATTAAGTGCTAGTTTTAACCTATCAAGCCATATGCCGCTCAGGACCACAATACCGCAAAGGCTGCCTCTCCCAATATGAATCCGCTCAGAGCAAACAATCTTCATCAAAGACCCTTCTTTATGCGCCTTATCCAAGGGAGCTGTGGAAGGTGGTCACATGAGAACAGGCCTTTTTGGTAGTGGTTCTTCCTGTGCGTGGAATGTTCTCCCCAGGGAAACATGCCTGGTGCCTTGGTTTTTATGGGCCAGGCCAAGACATTTTTATCTGCCTAAGCCTTTGGTAGTTATACCAGCTTCTACTGTGGTGCTTACCTTTTACTGATATGAGATAGGTTTTAACCTTATTGTGTTGGATGAGCATTTTAATTATTTTGTATTGTACACTGTGTTTAAATTTCCTGGTTTTTATTTGACTTCATATATATATATTGTTAAGTTGATTTGAGACTAAGAAGCACAACAATACATAAAATAAAGGAGGTAATTTGTTTTTAAAACGTTGCTCCACAGAATCACACAATCCAGACATTTCAGCTCATTGTGTCTCTTCAGTCTTCTTTTTAAATGTTGCTTTGAAAAACCCCACTGTGATTTAAGACAACAAAGACAATAGAATCACTGTGTGTTTCAGTTTGGGAAGTTCAGAGATGAGTGGGAAATGAAAATTACAATGTAAATGATTTAACAATAAAACTTGCAGATTGGCAGGACATCTGGACCAATTGATTTTAATACATGATGGCTGTGTTTCGAAGAATGACAAGCTGAAAGCATGTAGTTCTTCCCAAGAACACAAAATGCAGCGAGTGCTTTATAGACAGTGGACAGAAGTAACCACAGCCAGAAACATGCAGCCAAGGTACCTGGCCAAAAACATCCGTTCTGGCTACAATTCTTGTTCATCCTGTATGACAGATAGACACAACCAATGGAGAAGCACAAGAGAGACTTAATGGAGCCATGACTTGATACAGATTCACATTTTCTCTATATGTGAAAGCCTGTGGCTGCTTTTGATTAACACAACTGTTTGCAAATACACTCCTAGAAGTTACTGGTACACATGCTGTCTGACATGCATGTAGAAGGGTGGAGAACAAAAGGCATACTCACCTGCCACCTCTGAAGGTGGACTTTGCTGCATTACATGAATGTGTGATTTCATCCTCACTTTTGAAGATCTGTTTTAGATACTGGGAATAAAGCTGGGAACCTGTAGCCCTCCAGGTATGCTGGACTCCCATCAACCCCAAGCAGTATGATCAATGGGGATGATGGAAAACAATAATGATGCTCTGAGTATTGCCAGGGTGCTTCACTTTCCCATGAGTGATCACAACCAGCTGTAACACATTTAGGATTTGTCCTCAGTGCCTCTCAGGTCCAGAATACTTCCCCTGCACTCAGTTTCAAAAATAAGATGGAAGAAGAAAGTAGAAAACAGTGCCTCTGAGCACATGCAAAGAGGCTTTCCTTCATCATCAGGTAACTACAAACCACATTCACCTGAGGAAAGGTTTCCAGAGCAGAAAATGCAGCTGGAACACATTGCTGAGTCCCATCACCTTCTACATCCCACCTGCTGGCACACAATCTCCCTGCATTTCCTGCTTCTATTAATGGGCATATCCAGGTGGTTGAAATGATAAAAAGACCTCATACACCTACAAAGGGCTACCTTTGAAGGTGACCCGGAAACTACAACTAATCCAGAATGCGGCAGCTAGACTGGTTACTGGGAGTGGCTGCCGAGACCATATAACACCGGTCTTGAAAGACCTACATTGGCTCCCAGTACGTTTCCGAGCACAATTCAAAGTGTTGGTGCTGGCCTTTAAAGCCCTAAATGGCCTCGGTCCAGTATATCTGAAGGAACGTCTCCACCCCCATCATTCTACCCGGACACTGAGGTCCAGCACCGAGGGCCTTCTGGTGGTTCCCTCACTGGGAACCAGGCAGAGGGCCTTCTCGGTAGTGGCGCCCACCCTGTGGAACGCCCTCCCACCAAATGTCAAAGAGAACAACAACAACCAGACTTTTAGAAGACATCTGAAGGCAGCCCTGTTTAGGGAGGCTTTTAATGTTTGATGTATCACAGTATTTTAATATTTCTTGGAAGCTGCCCAGAGTGGCTGGGGAAGCCCAGCCAGATGGGCGGGGTATAAATAATAAATAATAATAATAATAATAATAATTATTATTATACAAAAGGCCTATCTAGTTCAGTTTTCTGTTTCCCACTGTGGGTCCTCTTGAACATAAATGGACCTTGGTATCTAAAAGCTTGCAGGCTCCTGGGGGAAGGCCAGCAGAAGCTGGGGAAATATCCAGTTCAGAATGAAATACCCCCAAATGGAATGAGAGTAAAAAAATAAAAAGTTTCTGGTCATTCAGATAGGGCTGGGATACAGCAAGATGCTGAGCATCCAGTAGGCAGTGATAGCCCAAAGGGCCATGGGAGGGGGAATGAACATGCCAAGCAAATCCACAGAGGATGCCATGTGCAGATATGGTCTCTAAGCTATGATAGAGGGAGTGGGGTGCTTGGTTTCAAAAGCAATCATAGAAAGGTGGGCATAAAGGAAGTCTGGTCAAATAGAGAGACGCAGCAGTATACAATTATCTTAATGGGATGCAGTTAGGGCAAACTTTTTGAAGCTGAGGTCCACATTCACTTGAGGGAAAGTGATCAGGGGCGCATGCAAGCGGTGGACAGGGCTAAAGTCAGAAGTGAGGAGCAGCACAGCTTCCCCTCCTCTCTGCTATGTCTTCCCTCTACCGCTTCATTCATCTCTCTCTCTCTCTCATTCTCTCTCTCTCTCACACACACACTTATACAACTTGTTTCCCACAGGCATCTAGTTGGCCACTTTCCCCAAACCTCTCTTCTCCTGTCGTAATCCACTAAACCAGAACCTGGGTAGACAAAAGTGCTTTTTCAAAGCTTGTATGGTTAAACTATGGAATACTATCACAACATGTGAGGAGGACCCCCAACTACGGTGGCTTTTTTTAAAAAAAGGGTAGAGACAAATTCATGGAGAATAAGGCCACCAACCGACAGACTCCCTCCAGGACCAGCGGGCCTCAGGAGTCCAGTCGCTAGGGAATAGCAGCTGGGGAGAGCTGCAACTCTTGTGCCCATGTCCAGCCTGTGGGCTCCTCAGAGACATGATCTGACTGGCCACTTTGGGAAGCAGGATGCTGGGCGAGACGGGCCTTTGCTTTGAGCCGCACAGTTCTTAACACGCGACTACCTTCCCCGCGCTGTGCGTCCTGCCCGGAGCTAAGCCTCCGCTGGCCGGCTGCTCCCCTGCAGCTTGCGCTTTCAGGAGCCGCAGCTACTAATCTTGCAAAGGCATCCTGGTTTTGCTCCTTCCCGCCGCCGCTATGCCTCCTCTGCTGCCGTTACTGAAACAGGAGCCCGGTTGGGGGGGGGGTGGAATGAGGCTAGCCAACCACTAGCTGCAGAAGCAGCTGCCCGGGCGAGGGGAGGACGCCACCAGCTCCTTTCCTTACGTGGGGGGGGGGGAGTCTCAGGGGAAAAACCCTTGCAGAAAGAGCCACCCGAGCGCAGCTCTTTGGCCGGCCTGCAGGCAAACCTCTCTCCTCCCCGCTCTTGCATTGCTACAATGCTCCTTCTGCAGCCTCCCAGCCGCCGGCAACCTTCCAGCTTGCAAGCACCCCATTCTCTTTTTGCATCCAGTCCCCGTTTCATGCCAAACGGCGGTTCCAGCCAGCCCTGCGGCTGCAGCGAGCTCCGCGCTGCGGATTTGCCAGCCCTGCGGCTGCCGCCGGTTCCCTCCCTTCTTCAAAGCAGCAGCAGCAGCAGGTGAGCGGCGGCGCAGGAGCCGGGCGGCAGCAGCCATTTGCGCCCTGCCAGCGGCACCGGCAGCCGGAGCCCCTTACCGTGGCATCTTCGCCGGCGTAGTGGCTGATCACGCGCAGCCCCCCCGGGTGTCGCTTGGCCCATTGGGTGATGTTGTACACTTTCCGCTCGATCACCAGCCACTTGTCCGTGTGCACGTTGTGCTTCTGGATCTCCTCCCAGGTGTACGAGGGGCTCGGCGCCTCCCGCTCGGCGCACATCCCGCCTTGCTCCTCGCCTTTCCCCATGACCGGCTTCGGCGCGCTGCTTCGACGGCTCGGCTTCGCGCTTGCTGGCGATCCCGTGAGGCGAAAGGCTCCCCGCCTCTCCGCTCCGGTTTAACTCGCCGCTGCGCCGCCCCCCACTCCACGCCGCCCCCTCCGCGTGCTCTTTGTCTTCGCCTTGCCGCCTGCCAGCCCTTGTGCAATTTCTGCCGGCTCCGCCGCCTGCTCTGAAGTGCCCCCTAGGCTGCAGCGGCGGACTTTTCCCTCGCATATAATCCCTGCGCCAGCCAGCCAGGGGGGAACCTCAGCCTCTCCATCCCATTCCATGAATCACCGACGAGGATTCCGGAGGGTAATCAGCAGAGCTCCTCCTCCAATCGCCGCTCTCCGCCGGCCAAGCGGGGCTCTGCCATTGGCTGGCGCTAATCTTTCGAAGGTGAAGGCCGGCTGACCTCAGCTTAAAACTTGGAGAAGCCTTGATATTGTGAAGCGGACCGCCGCAGTGCTTGCGCGGGGCTCGCGGAGTTGGCCCAGAGGCGCCACCGAGGCAGCATCAGGCACGAGGAGCGAGCAAGCGCGCGCCTCAAGGAAAGCTTCGCGCCTTCCGCCAACGCGCCTATCTTTGTCTCCAAAACTGGCACAAGAAACGACGCTGTCATAACTCAGGACAGCCGGCTTCCTGAAAAGATTCCACACACACACAAAACGAAGAAGAGTTTTTACAATTATGCAGATTTGCCTACCCGCTATCTTCAGCCTAAGAGAGTCCCAATCTGCTCCTCATGTCAGTGTCTTATCTCCCCAACTAGGAGATCTTGGCAGTTCTCCCAGGATTGTTTATCAAGAATATCAACTTGTAAAATATATCCTGCAGGGTGGCCCTTCTTTATTCAGACGCCACAATGTTAGGTAGGTAACTTAACTCAAGATTTAGGCAAATTCACTTCAGGATCCATAAATATTTTTCTGTATGTTTGCATAACAAAATGAGCAAGTTTGGTTTTATAGACATTGTTTTCTGATTGCACTTACATGAGTGAAACAAAGGGTTCTTTTTTCCTAATTTTTTTTTAATGTCAAGTTGCTTATATCAAGTACACAAAAGTGATAGGGTGCTGTTTTTTTCTGTTAAAAACTCATGGCCACCAGAAGGCTGTCACAACCATACCCATTTCCATGTGACTGCAATGTTATGTATTTTGCCATAAATACATGTCACATTGCAGCACCTCATGCATGTCTTCCCTGGAGGCAGGGGAGACGTCATAAATTCGGACCTTTGCCACTTTCCCAGGAAGGTAAAACAAATGTTTTCACCATGGATCACCTTTCATTTGTTGTCACTGAAAAACCTTTCCCTCCCTTATAAACAAGCTATGAGAGATAAAAGTGTAGTTTTAAATTGTTGATTAGGCATTTTGATCCCCACCAGGTCTTTTTCACTTTGCAGCTCACAAGGACAGATTTGTTGGGTTTTAGGCTATGAAACTTTGCAGAGGAATCTCTGATGTTACAGATTGAAAGCTGAGGGAGAAAGAGAACCTTGCAGGCATGGAACATGCCACTCTTGTTCCACAGATCACACACAGTTCCACAGAGTCACAAAAACAAAACAAAAAAGCCACAAAAACGCAAAATAAATAGCTAAAACAGACAGACCTCAACATAACACTGAAAACGGAAGTGTGGCACTCAAATTAGAAGCGTAACAGTCAAAACGGAGTGCCTCTTTCCAGGTATCACTTGTTTGACAGTTATGGCTATATAGAGATCAAAGCAGCCTTACCATAGTGCCGCATGCTCTGATGACCTCTTGCACAGACCACTGTAATGTATTCTAGGTTTGGCAACCATTGAAGATGATCCAAAAATTAAAACAAGGGCAGGATGGAGCAGCTAGAGTCTTAACTGACACCACTGTGCAATGTCACATCACACTTATTCTGCAGGATCTGCACTATATGCACTGTATGTTTCTAGGTGCAATTCAAGGTGCCAGCACCGATGTAAAAATGACATGGATTTTCTTCTCACATCATCCAGCACAAGCCCTGAAATCAGGGGAATCCTGCTTGTGGTCCTACCAACAGGGATGACCCATTGCAAGGGAACCTGGAGTGGGGCCTTCTCTGTGGTGGTGCCCCTGTTATGGCACACTCTCTCCTTGGAGGCTACAACATGAATGAGCTTCCAATGAATGATGAAGTCTCACAATTTTTCCTAAGCTTTTGGAGGCCACGTTTAGGTTTTTTTTGTCTGTCTCTAATCTTCTTTGCATTTTATATAGATTGCAATTGGTTTATTGGTTTCAGTTGTGTTTCAAATTTTGTTTTGTGATTAGAGCTTTCAAATGTTCAGATAACACTGCAGCAGTTGTGTCATGTTAACACCATTTGGCATGAAGGGTTACTTCAGTTCTTAGGGTTGATTTCATACGGGAAAATTGGGAAAGGTCATGTTTTCTGGCAGTGTCCTATACAGCACTAGCAGTGTCATTATATAATCCAGCCCTCTGGCATGTTTGGGAAGTATTTGTACCTCTCTCTCCAGTGTCAAAGCCTTGGGTTTGGCACTCATTCCTCAGCCACAGAAAGGAAGACTAAGAAGGGGAATGAATTCACTGTATTTACTTTTGAGGATAGTGTTGGTAGCCAAATAGGCAAAAGGCTGCACATTGTAACTGCAGCTTGGGAAAAGAGTATGGAGTAGCTTTGATTAAACAAAAGATGCTGTGTATTAGAAAGCAGGAGAGGGGCACCGAGTTGGAGGATTATGTGGGGGATAATTAGGCTGAGAATAACAAACAGAGAGAGAGAAAATGAGAGGAAGAATGAACATACAAAGAGGAAAGAAAAATAAGATAGAGGAAATCAGATGCGGAGGTGGGGGCTGGGAGGAGTATGCTTAACAGATTTATTTGAGACAGGTACATTTAATCTCTAGGATTGAGGAATATGCCTCATACTGCCATGCTGCTTCATATTCAGATAGGCATCTCATTTTATTTTATTTTTTAATTAATTTCAGATAGGCATCTCAGTCCAGCAACTAGTGTACTGATGTCAGAGGTTCTTATATACAATCACCATGTGTATTTGCCTTCATGGCATAGTTGGCTACACTGAAACATTATTGGCCTGAAGCCAACAACTGTAAAGCTAAAGGTTGTTTTTTTTAATGTCTGTCTGTATGATACAAACTTTGCACATATAGAACAATTTCCCAGTCCATGATTATGGGAAATGTTTGCTAGATTCTGTTTACTAGATATTGTAGTGATGTATGTGCCATGGCCAATGATATATCTATGAAACCTCTCTGGGGGATAAGGAATGTCTGTCTGTCTTTGTCTACTATCTCTGTCTCTTAAGAAAGGAAGCAGATAGATACCCAGGTTAATAATTTAGGTTAAAAACACAACCCCAGAATACCTTATAATAAATCTATCCTTGAGTGACAAAGGAGGTGGTTATTTAGCATAGAAAAGCTGGTTAGAGTAGAAGTTGTTTTTGTTTTGGACCAGGAAACCATTTCAAAGTGTAACATGGTTGCAATGTAGCAGAAGTCAGTTAATGGCAATAAATTTTACAATGTAGTCAAACAGCCAATGTTAGCAACTCATTGCATGTTGGAGAGAATACCAGTTCAGATGTATAGAAGTTGAGCTTTTTCACATCAGCTTCCAGAATTCCAAACAAGCAGAGCTCTGGCTATCTGTATTCCTGTATGCTTCTCCTCTTAATAGAAAATGGGGACAGTTTTCAGAGTTTCGAATGTTAGTAGTCTGAAAGTAGTCATTCTGCAGAGGGGGAAAAAAAAGGGAAATAATATAGAGTGGCTGGCTTGATAAACCACATCTCTCTTTTGAGTCACAGTAGTTTATTCCTATCACCTACTTTTCTACTGTCCTAAAAATTAAATCAACAGTGAATTTACTCAGAAGTAAGCCTCAGAGAGTGCAGTTTACAACTGTAGTTTTAAGGGCTTTCTCCTCTCCAAAATAAGCCAGAAGCACATAAGCAATAATGAATGCACAAACAGCACATAAGCAATGATAAACAAGAATAAATCCAAACCACTTAATTAATTGGTGGCAGGGTTGTCTGTTCCTTTGGATAAAAGATAGATGAATATATAAATCAATAAAAAAATTATATAATATGTCACATGGGCATTTGATTGCATAAATTGCACAGCTAAGCTATGAGTTGAAAACTGCTTGAGATAGTACCGTATTTTTCGTTCTATAACACGCACCCGACCATAACACGCACGTAGTTTTTAGAGGAGGAAAATCTGTAGGCATGCCACCCGTAGGCATTCCCTCCATAACACGCACAGACATTTCCCCTTACTTTTTAGCAGGAAAAAAGTGAGTGTTATGGTGCAAAAAATATGGTATGTTTCTACAGAATGAGTAAAATGTTTCATTTTTACAAGTTAATTGCTAATATGCAGAAGCACCACATGGGAAATAGCTCAGGTGAGGAGTTGTTTTGTGCAAAACATGACTAAATAGAAGACTACTATGTATTTAAGACTACACAGAAGTATCAGAATTAATTGCCCTGCCCTTCAGATTTTTATTTTGCTCGTTTCTCTTATTTATCAAGTGTCTCTTACCACAGAAGGAGATGCTTCCACTGAGCCTAGGGCTTGCCGATCAGAAGGTCGGCGGTTCAAATCCCTGCAATGGGGTGAGCTCCCGTTGTTCAGTCCCAGCTCCTGCCAACATGGCAGTTTGAAAGCACGTCAAAGTGCAAGTAACCTATGGTCCTCCTGATGTTGTTTTCCTCAAACTCCCACCAGCCCCAGTCAGTATGGCCAATGGTCAGGGTTTATGGGAATTGTAGTTCAGCAATATGTGAAGGGTCACAGTTTCCTCACTTCAAAGTGCACATCATCCACATGGATAATTATTTCCTATATATCAAGGATGGGAACTATTTCTATGACACCCTGAAACCAGATTCTCAAAACAACTTACAACAAGAATAAAAGGAAATCTAAAATACATACAAGAAAAGAGCTCAACAATAATACATATTTAAAACGTATACAAACTAATTCCAATTCCTTTCTTAGGCCAATCAAAATTTAACAGAACAGTGTTGTGAGCTTTTGAGTTCTCCAGAACTCTTCAGAGTCCAGAACAAGGGGAGGGGGAGGCAATATTTTTGTCTTATGTTGAAGCCTTAATGACATTGGAATTTTTCTAAAGCACCAACGCAACTACCTTTACATTTTATACTACATGGAGAATAAATAAAAAATGGCCATAAATGGCCATAAAAAATGGCAAAGATAAAATTGATTAGACCTGGAGCAGATAGAAATATATCAATCTGAAATGCTATCAGCCAGGTGAGCCAGGTGAACCTCTACTGCTTTTAGCATTTTAATGTAAGCAGCCATGGGAGTCCCATGATGGGACAACTTTTCCTAAGTGTAGGAAAAAATAAACGTTAAGAATAGTTTTAAAAACAACAACATTGCACGGTGTAGTAAATGTGTAGGCACTCATTCAGCCACAGTTTTGATTTTAATAGGAGAGATTTAACTCACATCTTTCTCAATGAAACAAATGGCGTTTAGGTTGGAAAGTGCCAAATGAAAGAATGAATGAATCAATTAATGAATGGAGTCGGGGAATTCAGTTGTTCAAATGAGATCAGGCAAATACAAACGAAGGCATGAACCCCAGGATTTGAAGCTGGAGATATGATAATAATGGGAATCTGATGTTTTTCTGAGGCTTGTTCACACATCTTGCCAGATAGCTAATCATGGTATTGTGCTTGTTTTAATCAGAATGTGTCACAATGCAAAACATATATGGTGTGTAGCAGCCATTCATCCTAATATTGCTCAGAAAATGTACTTTGCAGCTACATGCAACAGTTTATAGATTTAGTCACACCAATGAAGTTATTCACACAGAAACTGAAAAAGTGTGAGCGACAGACTAGATAACAAGGCAATCAGGCAATCAGACATTTTGTTGGAATAGCAGAGTTCACTGAGTAGTCTGTTCTAGTATGTTTCTGTTAATTACCTTTCGCCAGAGTTGAACTCACTGTAAATGCAGATGGCCACAGCTGGATGCCAGTGAGCATATAGTAGCAGCTGCTTTTTCTTCTTATGTTGTTTTCATAACAATGACCTTATTCTTGGCTGTGTGAGGTCCTTTGGAGCTCTGTGTGTATTAAGTGTGAAAGAATGGACTCTTTGGACCAGTCTTACGAGTGTCTTCAAAATCCATTACACCTTTGGCAAAGACTGTTCTCCAATTGGAGCACTCGCAGGCCAGTGTTTCCCAATTGTCGGTGTTTATCCTACATTTTTTAAAATTTGCCTTGAGAGAGTCTTTAAACTTCTTTTGTTCACCACCAGCATTATGCTTTCCATTTTAAAGTTTGGAATAGAGTAGTTGCTTTGGAAGACGATAATCAGACAGCCAAACAACATGACCAGTCCAACGAAGTTGATGTTGAAGAATCATTGCTTCAACATTGTTGATCTTTGCTTCTTCCTGTACACTGGCATTAGTTCGGGAAGATATGTAATTTTTTTCGGACACGCTGTTGATGGAATCTTTCAAGGAATTGGAGAAACGTGCTAAGAGGAAGGCAGATTTGGCAAACCTTCACCATGATCAACTATGTCCCCACTGTGGAAGGACGTGTGGGTCCAGAATTGGCCTCTAGTTACTTACGGACTCACTGTCCAAGACTGTGTTCAGGGAAGACAATCTTACTTGGCTATGAGTGATCACCAAGAAGAAAGGAAGAAAGAAAGAAAGAAAGAAAGAAAGAAAGAAAGAAAGAAAGAAGACTAGTAGCAAACTGCTCTAGATTGCCTACTAATCAAGGCCACTGTGCAATTTTCTCCTCCAGCCACCAATTTAAGCACTGTTTATTCTGGCTGACTACTAGACAACTAGCACCTGATATCTAGGTTGGGCACCCCTTCTATAAGGGGGTCTGGCAAGTCAACAAAGTGTAACATTTTCTCTCTGTGGGTGGTATATATTTTCTGTCTATGCAAGGCAGTGTTATTGGGCGTCATGCAGCAGATACCAGCTACTGGTTTATTGCAAGACAGAAAGAGATTGGCTGCTGCAAGGAAATGAGAAAGAAGTCTGAAGATTTTGCAAGTGTATAATAGTCTTTTTGAAAATCAGGTGATGCTTTAGAACCAGCAATGTCACTCTAAGGTCAGTGCTTGCTTGACTCCCTCCTGCTCAGTTTTGTCCTTCTGAAGTGTGACCCTTTCCTTACAGATTGTTTGGCCCAGGCCGCAGGGATCAGGGTAGAGAAAGGCATTGCAGGGTAAACTTAATGGGCATCGGTGGAGGCAAGATTTGGATCAGCTGCAGTGGTTGCACATTGGTTTGCCATCAGATCAACTGTGCTGGCATTTTTTATTGTGTGCTGCACATTGTATTGTTGCATGCCACCCCAGTCTCCGAGTGGTGCGAAATTTCAGGGTTTCCCAGGCGATATAAAAGAGTCATTGAAGTTACTGAAGGACCATGGACTTTCTTAGAAGCCACCCAGACAGCAACCGGTTCTCATTTGCGCGCGCACCATCCCCCCCCCCCCGCAGTCCTTTTTTATGTAACGTCTTGGCAAAGGCAAGGGCTTGCTAAATATCATCCGGAACGGGACCGGCACGAACAAAGGCCATGGGATTACGCAGGCCGGCATCTGCCGGGGCACAGGCAGCGGCGAGAGGGAGCGGGCGTCCAATGCGCGCGAGGGATTTCCTGCACAATAAAGCCGGAGCTCTCTTTCTCCCAGCGAGCCGGCAGAGCGGGCGGCCAATGGGCTCTCGCGAGCCGGGCGCGCAGGGCGCGGGGAGGCGTGTCCCGGGCGGAGCGCGCGGCCGGCGGGGCGCTCGGGGGTTGCGGCTGCTCGGCGCCGCTGGATGGGCAGAAGCGCTTCGGCCGCTCGGGGGTCACTGACTGTGGCATCGTGACAGCCGCCGGCGGAGATGGCGAAGGCCGAGATCCCCGCGGCAGCCCCGCGGCTCTTCACGTGGGACGAGATCCAGCTGCGATCGGGCAGGGCGCCGGAGCGGTGGCTGGTGATCGACAGGAAAGTCTACGACATCAGCCAGTTCCACAAGCGGCACCCGGGGGGCTCCCGCGTGATCAGCCACTATGCGGGGCAGGACGCCACGGTGAGGGGGCCGAAGGAGAGCGGGGGCGCCAGAGAGGGGATGCCCCACGCAGCGAAGCCGGGGAGCTCCTTTCCGGGCTAGCGGTGGGGGCGGAGATCATGTTTCAGGGGCCGGGCTGGAGGGCGAGAGATGCCTGGAGGAATAAGGTTACTGGATAGGGCGGCATGTGTGTGGTGTTTTGCGCGGGCTTTACTGGAGAAGTGATCGTTGTTGCGACCCGATCCTACACGTGTTTACTGGGAAGCAATCACCGGGACTTAGAATCGTAGAGTTGGAAGGGACCATGTGAATCATTAGCCCAAGCCCCTGCAATGCAGGAATCTTTTGCCCAACGTGGGGTTCGAACCCGAAACCCTGAGATTAAGAGTTTCATTCTCTACCGACTGAGCTATTAAGTGCAAAGCCATGCTTCGGATTCCAACATCTGGAGCCCACTCAGCCACACCGAGGGCCCTGAAGCTGCCTAAAGATCCTGCAGAGGTTTCTTCATGGGGAGGCTGTGCTTTATACTCAAAAGAACAGGAGTTGTCATAGGCAATGATGAATATTTAAGCATAAGAAATAACTAACTGACCAATCACGTTGGTTCTGCCCCCCCAACAAATATCCTAGCTATGCCCATGCATATATGGTGCGGGATGGAACATGCATTACATTTTCTGACTGGAGGTAGAGAAAGAAAAATAACTCTGCACATGCTCAGAAACACTGTATTTTCACATGTCTCACAGTGATCACTTTTCTAGTTGTAAGAATATGCCGTACATTCACTATGCTGCAGGGACAGATCACCTGTGGACCTCCCAGCTTTCTTCAGCTTTATGCAGCATAGGCCATGTGGTCTGGGGTGGAGTTGGGAGTCCAGCAATGTTTAGAGGACCACAGGCTCCCCATCCTTTTTGTAGGACTTGGACAAAAATGAGAAGGCTATGAATGAATATATGCCTATTTGTGTGAGTGAGCAGGAACTCTGGAAGAGAGGAAAGCATGGTGACTGGCCTGTGTGCTAGTTTGTTTGTCTGTATGCACTGTGTCTATCTATTTGTTGGTCTATATGCCTCACTCTTCTTCCCAAAGCATGTTCAAATATCCCCCATAGAAAACTAACATGGTCAGGGAGAGAGCTAGGCAGACCGTTTCTCCCCGATACGTTAATTTCCCATGTGTACCGTCTTGTACAAGTACCAACTTGAGAATGAGGATAACTTTTCAAAATGATGACTGCAACCTATTAGGGCTGACCCTACCATTAGGCAGAGCAAGTCAATTCCTTAGGTCTCAGAGGCTTGGTGGGGCAGCAGTGGCTTCACGCATCCAGCCATTTCTCTTGAACATTTTCCTCTGTTAGAGACCAGAGCTATGTGTGCCCCAGGCCAGTCATCCACCCCCATAACCATCCTGCTACCCTTGGTTGCACTGGAGGATGCTATCCTTTTGCAAGCCTTGAAGTAAGATTCAGTTGCCAGTCTTGTCAGTATCTGGGTGTGTACGTATGTGGCAAATTATCCTTTGCTTCAGGCAGCAAAATGTGTTCAGGCTGGCCCTGCTTATTAGGCATCTATGCAGTGTTCTATTTGTGTTCACATTAGAAGTGGCTCTCCTGATGGGGTGGAGCTATAGCACTAGCCTTCTGGCAGTGGAGAGGGGGGGAGGTGGCGGGGAGAATGGTGTGCTGCAGGCACACTGGTGGAGTCAGTCTGGTGCTCCTGCCGGTGGGTCTGCACTACACTGACCTCCACCCTTCTTCCTGGCAAGTGGCCGTGACATCTGGTATTGTGAATCTGCCCCACTGCTTGCATGTACTAAATTTAAGTTTAGCATGACATATATGCAACCAGGAATCAGCCACAGCAAGCCTAATGTGCCCCGCTTTTGTCCCCCCCCCTTGCATAACCATGCCATCCAGACTTGGAATTATGATTAATAAAAACTTTGATAATTATGGCGTGACGTTGATTTGCCTGAAACCAACCCTTATTAAAGTTAACCATAGTTTGGACCAGCAACAAAGCATGGTTAACCATAAAACGGGAGCTTCCAAACCTTTCCATGGAAAGAGAAGTGGGGAGCATTCGCTTATCTGCAGGCCGTTTCACACTTCATACTAAACTGTGATAGATACAATAAATACCTGTTAAGAGTCCAAGTGCTTGTTTATCTACACAAACTTGTTTGTAATTCCATGGGAACACTGTACTGGGGGAAGTGGAGAAGCAGTAGGTTTGATAAAGGTTAAGTAGTCTCTGTGCCCTTCTGCCCTAGCCCATCAGCTCTCCACCCCAAATCTCCTCCTCCAGTAATGGCTTCTCTCTAAAAGGAAGATGAGTCTATCAGGATTTTGTTGCATGCATTGTGTGTTAATGTTAGTTAAGCTGTAAGTGTCAAGTCAAGTAATGCCATTTTCTTCTTGCACATCCTCATAACCACCTTGTGGGGCTGGCTGCTATTCTTTGTATTTTGTCTTGGAGAGCTGAAGTGGAAAACCACGTAGAAGTATTTGGTCTGGATTTAAAACCCAACCACAGCATAGACTTATTGCAGTCATGGCTAAGCTCTGATTTGAACCTAAGTCATTACTTCACTTCACTGATGGGATCCCAGAACAGCAGAAGCTTGGATTAACAGACCTCCAGTTTACGTAGCATTTACGCGGCTGTACTTTTTATGGAACTCAGATAGTCTTGTGCTTACAGTGAGGTTTCTGTCTGAACCACTTCTCACAAACTCACATTTCAACCAGTCGTGCAGCCACTCTAGCCTTTTTAGAAAGGATAGTGGTGGCATACTAAACGGCAATTTGTGTTTGTGATGAATGGCTCAGTTGTCTGACTCATCATGTACATAGCACAATCCAGACACAAAAAAATGCATCTGGCAATGTACATCGTGGCAGTGTGAATTGACTCTGAATAAGCCATGTATTTTAGTCTGGATTTAGCAGCCTTGAGAACATGCTGAAAGCTTAACACTTGTGCAATTGGAAACAAAGATGAAATACTGTTCATCTGGCAAAAAAAGCTGTTATAGGTCATATATATATATATATATATATATATATATATATATATATATACACACACACACACACATGGAAAATCTAAAAAATGTAAGAAAATGAGAGGTTCCCCTTCCATTTCCTGCTGCCCAGCTAACTATTCCAGTTCCGAGAAGGTGATTTACAAGGTCCCTCTCTATCGCCTCCCTCCTCTCCCTTTTACATTACTGCCGGGTTTTTACAACAGCCATTGTGAGGATTGGCTGAATCTTATGGTACCACCGTCTACAGATCAGCCTATGAACCACCCCCTTTCCCCCTTCCAATGAGAAAACTAACAGGAAAATACCGTTCCCCACTCCCAGGATTCAGATAAACTTAGGAACAGCGGATACAATCTCTCTCTCTCTCTCTCAAGTACATCCAGCACTGGAAGTAGTTATATCAGCAGCATTTTAAAACACTTTCCTGGCCAGCCTTAAAGGGCCAGTACCATCGAAAAGCACACAAATTTAAGGATAGCATGTGTTTATCAGCATCGTGGAAAAGAAGGAAAGAATAAAAGCCAATACAGAGATTTTTTTAGAAAGGGGACATTTTTGGTCTGAGGGTGTCAACAGCAGAGGCATTATATTAGACAAGAAGAAACCAGCTTCTTTCCTGAGGTCCTCACACTGCTTGAACAGAGGAGTGACTGACACTATGTCAGTGTGATATAAATATGATGATGATGTTGTTGTTGTTGTTACTATTTATTCAATTTATATCCTGCCCTTCCTGCCAAAGGAGCCCAGGGCAGCAGAAATGACAATAATAATAAAACAGCTTAAAACATGTTTAAAACATGCTATTTTAAAAAAAGTGGATTATGCATCAAACCCAGGTCTGAGCATAGACTGGAATGGGTCCAGACAATCTCTTTTCTCCAATAGTGCTTTCAGCTGAACTAAAAAGACCCTCTTGAGCATTTGAGGCAGATTTAGGGCAGTGTGACCTGTTCTTCCCCACTGGGCACTGAGCCTAGTGAGCGCCACAGGGTGTCACAACTATGACATAGTGAATTGAGCAGAATGGAAGGCGAGAGGCAGGTGGGGCGCTTAATTTTGGCCTTGTACATGGCACTGCTGAGATTTGAATGACCAAAGTCCACCCCTGTGAGCACTTTTACCTCAAATGGGGGATGTTAGAAGTCTGGAGTACCCCCTGTCTAGAAACCTGTTTCTTTGGGGGGAAGCGCACGCCTTCCCTGGACATTGTGGGTAGGGGGTAGTGTGTCAGACCAGGGTTCAAATTCTTACTCAGCCTGAAACTCAGTGGATTGTTGTGAGGGGAGTGGAAAACTGTATACGCCACCTAGGGCTCCTTGGTCAGGTTGTGCACCTAATTATCACACTGACTTGAGGGCACAGGCTTGTTTAGGGGACACAGGGCAGGCCATGTGGTACACACAGCTTTGCCTACTCCCTACTCCTCAGCATTTGCTGCCTGAGGTAGCTGCCTCACTCTGCCTTATGGTAGGGCTGGCGCCTTGTTATACAGACAAGCTAAATAGCACATGGAGAGGAATGTGAGGTTGCAGAAGTTTTGCTCTGCCTTCTTATATGTATCTGAATCAATATTAGATTGGGGTTGGGCGGCCTTTCAGTAACAGCTAGGAAAATTCACATGTTCTTATAAAACATAAGGGTTATTTGCTGGTATTTCTACACAACCCGATCCCCAGCTTTGTCCTGTTTATAACACTCAGGGACTGAATGAATGGTTGGCAGACATCTATCAATCATTTATTGTATTTGATTAAAAGCCATCACAAATTCAGTTACAGGTCCAGCAAATGAAATAAAACCTATTAAAAGAGATCCAGAAATATACATATATTTACATTAAATCAAATTAATGAATCCCTGCGCAATCTACAGAATTGTCTTTTATGTAGCCAGCACAAATACTTTTTAGCAGCTTTTGCAAATAAGGCTGTTTTATATGTGACAAGCGGGTCGCAGTCAGATAATAGCCAACATATTTTCACTTCGGGGTTCTGTCCCTGTAGTGGTGCCAACATCTGTTCCAAAAATATATCTCTGGGGTTTAGATAGAGCTGACAATGGAGTATATAATGGGGACTATCTTCTATTTCACCTACCCCGCAAATACAAAATCTTAAATACCTTGGGAATGACGTGGGCTTTGTTTGAAAGCAGAGAGCTGTAAATGCAGTTCTCAGGGAGGCAAAGGTAAGTGTCTGGTTTATAAATGCAAACACATTTCCAGAGCGGCACCTAGTGGCCAGAAGGAATAACTGTTACCCAGGACTTTTAGTTGTCTTCTTGAAGCCCTTCAGAAAGTCTTGGGAACAAATGCCTCAAATAAAAATAAAAGCACAGGAACAAGGAAACCAGTGTCCTGGCTAGAAATCAGTCGAAGGACCATCAGTATCTGTGCCAATGCTACATGTGCCAAAATGTGAAGCTGCAGCCTTTAGAGAAACTCGAGTCAGAAGGTGAAAGAGGCTTTTTGGAAGAGGAGACAAAAGAACATTATTTGGATAAGAGATAATAGTCAGGATATGACCGGCAGGTCTTTGTTTAGAGCAGGGATGGGGAACTCGTGGCCTTCCAGATGTTGGACTACAACTCCTGTCATGACTGGGCTGATAGTTAGAGTTCAGCAACAACTGGAAGGCCTCTAGAGGAAATCATGAGAGGCTCCTACACTGAAAAACTTTACCAATTCAAGGAAAAAGTTAATGGAAAAATGTGGCCATTTTGGATTGGAAAGTATATTTTAGGAAGTTCAGAATGGGACCAGCAAGCTTCACTAGCTAGATTTCCCCACATTGACCTAGGGATGCCAATATCATCATGCCTATTTCTTGACATTTTTTAAATTAACATTTAAATTCCGCCTTCTTGAAGCACCACTAGTTTACTCACTTCATTCCACTGTGGTTTTTCAGGATCCCTTCACAGCATTCCACCTGGACAAGACTCTAGTGAGAAAGTACATGAAGCCCTTGCTCATTGGGGAGCTTGCAGCAGATCAGCCCAGTTTTGAACCCAGCAAAAATGTAAGTTTCCTTTAAAAACAACAACAACAACAAAAGATATAGTAATAACTAGTACTATTATTGTTGTTGGTGGTGATTTATTTTGAGACCACCCATCTAATAATTGCAGGTTGGTATACTACAATATCTAGAACCTTACATGATATTAAAATACTTAAAATCTTAAAACATCATAGGACATATTGGACTGGTGAGACTGATGGTCAGTCACTAGAACATATATTATATATAGCTTTAAAGTCTCAGTTAGCCCCCTTATAAAAATATGTGTCATCAGATGGAACTGAAAAAGGGTACCAATGGTATCTGCAATGGGACAATATCTCATGGTTGTAGTGCCACCACAGAGGAAACCCTTCCACATGTTGCTGCCAAAGAGGCAATAACCATTGGTGGTACCACCAGTATGTAAGCAGGCTGTGAATTCCCTTAAGCACTGATGTTATATGATTCAGGCTATGATTGCTGTATAGCAGCCAGGCTGCAGCATTCTACACTAGCTGTAGCTTTTGATCCACATTGAGCGCATTACAGTAAACCATGGGTAACCGTGGCCAGGCTATTCTGATCCAGAAACAATCATAGCTGGTGAACCAGCTGCATCTGTGAATTAGCACTCCTTAGAATCCATGAGTGCTTTCAATTTACACACTGACTCTGTTGAGGTGAGGGCAACCCTATCTAGAACAGGTGAATTTCTCCTTGTGCAATAGACTATTCTCCCCATTTCTCCCCTATGTATGTCTCCTAAATCTGTTCTGGGAGATCCTCCATCCCTCTGGAACAGATTTAAGGATGGTATTGGGGGGAACGTGGAAGTCACATAGTTGTGCATGTGCAACTATCTCATTGAATACAGCCCATGGGTTTGAAGTCAAGCAAGATCAGTGAAGCCAGTGGAAAGGTATCTGGGTGGCTTATCAAAACAAGAAATACAGAAAAAGGATCTAGTTGGGGGTGAGAGAGGCAAGAACTAGTTTTCAGTTGAAGAAAGATGAGGGCACTGCCAAAACACAAGAAAGAAAAAGAAACACTAGTGGCAAAGCTACTACTATCAAAATGGTAATGAAATACAGTTTAAGAAATTATAATAAGAAGTATGAAATCTCCAGAGATATGTAACAATTTTTTAGAATATACCTTCTTCACGGGAAAAGAAATAGAACTTGATACCTTATTTGGGCATAATTTTAAAAAGCACCATGTCTCACTGCATGAAGTATCATACTTCATTGTATTCCTTTGACTTTGAAGAACATGTATCTTGAAACACACAGCGCATTTCATATGCTTTACTAAAGTTTTCTATACCGCAGCACAGTTTTGAGGTTCTGCCTCGATATCTTTTGTTGTTCAGAATTGGTTTTTAACATGGTCGTTAAGTGTGAGAATATAATATGCTGAATACTGAATGGCCATCAAAACAATGGTTCAGCACTAGTATCCTACTGTATTACGATTTTTATAAAAAGTATACATTAGCACATACGTAGACAGAATCTATACTGCATTTACTTTTCCAAGCCTTTTTGTTTACAACTGTTAATGTGTGTATTTTAAAATGAATTGTGAGACTATCTAGGTTCTAACAATAGGCTCACCTGGGATGGTTCTAGAGATAGAAAAGCTGGACTTCAGCATGCTCTCTGCAGGAGGTTGTATGAGGTTCCCTTTCAGAGGAGAGAAAACTGCAATGTGGTCTCTCTCCACAGAAACTGCATGTAGATGATTTTCGTGAGCTCCGTGCTACCGTTGAGAAGATGGGCCTTCTGGATCCCCACCGCCTCTTTTTCTTCCTGTACCTCATGCACATCTTGCTGCTGGATGTGGCAGCTTGGCTCAACCTCTGGTACTTTGGACCATCCTTGGTGCCTTTCCTCTTCTCTGGATTGCTGCTTGGCACTGTACAGGTAACCCACAGATCAAATACAACAGGGCAATGAGCAGGACAGGTGGTGGGGCAGGATTGACTACAGTTTTAGCTGCATTAGGCTGCACAAGAGGAGGCAAGATACTTCTAGAAAGTGCCTATTTTCCTTCTGGATTCTTGTAACCATTGCTTCTCCATCTTACCACCCATGGCTGCCCAAAGGTTTCCTACCCTCAAACAATTCTTTCTGCTCACCCACACTCTGCTTAAGCTAGGAACTCCTTAAAGCACCTTGGGGATGCTATCTCACTCTCTTCTTTGAAATCACTCCATCAAGCTTTTGGATTAATTCGAGAGCCAGTGTGGTGTTGTGGTTAAGAGCGGTAGTCTCGTAATCTGGGGAACCGGGTTCGCGTCTCCGCTCCTCCACATGCAGCTGCTGGGTGACCTTGGGCCAGTCACACTTCTTTGAAGTCTCTCAGCCCCACTCACCTCACAGAGTGTTTGTTGTGGGGGAGGAAGGGAAAGGAGAATGTTAGCTGCTTTGAGACTCCTTAAAGGGAGTGAAAGGCGGGATATCAAATCCAAACTCTTCTTCTTAATTCCTCTGCCTTCGTCTCCAGTCACAACAAAGTCTATGCATATTGTTATTGTTTTAAAAAAATGTTTAGTGCCCTTCAGCTGAAGATCACAGGGTAGTTCACAACATAAAAACAAAAAATGAGAAGACAAAAAACAAAACAAAAACAAACCAATTATCTCCCCCTCCCACAAATACATTTAAAGGGTCATAGAATGTTAATCAACCAAATGCCTGGTTATAGAGAGATGTTTTAGCCTGGCACCTAAATATATGTAATGAAGGCACCAGGTGAGCCTTCCTGGGGAGTGCATTCCACAAACTGGGAGCCATCACAGAGAAGGCCCGTTCTTGTGTTGCCAACCTCCAGGCGTCTTGTGGAAGAGGCCTCTGATGATCGTCACACAGAGTCTGGGTTGGTTCATATGTATATTAACGGCACTTTCTCTCCATATTGTCTTAAACCTCTCCCAGCCTTTGCTTTTCCTTTCATTGACAAACTTCAGTCATTGTGGCATTGTGTTTGTACTGATGTTTTCCAGGCGCAAGCTGGCTGGCTGCAGCATGATTTGGGACATCTTTCGGTCTTTGGCAAATCTAAGTGGAACCACTGGGTTCACAAATTTGTGATTGGACACCTGAAGGTGAGTAATGGAGCTGGGGTTGTTCCTTAGCATCACTCCAGTGGTAATAAATGACGGAACCCCTTTGGCTGAGGCTTCGCTGTGCCCTTTATTTGGGGCAGAGTATAAAGATTCTAGTTTAGACCTCTTATTTATTTCTCTCTTCAGGGGGCACCAGCTAGCTGGTGGAATCACTGGCATTTCCAGCACCATGCTAAACCTAACTGTTTCCGCAAGGACCCTGATCTCAATATGCATCCTTTGCTTTTTGCACTGGGGAAGAAACTCTCTGTAGAGGTGAGTCTTGGAATATTTTGGAAATGGCAGGGGAATGGGAAGCATGTGAAGGTATATACATTGAAATTAGATTGGCGTCTCTGTGCTTTTTTTGGTACTGTGGGAAAGGCCTGGGTAAGGCAAATTCCTTGCTTAAATTTAATTGAATCGAGGCAGAATGAGGTCCAAATGTTAGGGAGATATTAGAAGGATGCGGGTGGCGCTGTGGGTAAAACCTCAGTGCCTAGGACTTGCTGATCGTAAGGTCGGCGGTTCGAATCCCCGCGGCGGGGTGAGCTCCCGTCGTTCGGTCCCAGCTCCTGCCCACCTAGCAGTTCGAAAGCACCCTTAAGTGCAAGTAGATAAATAGGTACCGCTTTATAGCGGGAAGGTAAACGGCGTTTCCGTGTGCGGTGCTGGTGCTGGCTCGCCAGCTGCAGCTTCGTCACGCTGGCCACATGACCCGGAAGTGTCTTCGGACGGCGCCGGCTCCCGGCCTCTTGAGCGAGATGAGCGCGCAACCCTAGAGTCTGTCACGACTGGCCCGTATGGGCAGGGGTACCTTTACCTTTATAGACATTCCACAGCCAAAGTGACATTCCTTTACGTATTTTTAAAGAAGTTATATGCATGCTCTAGCATTATATTGTTTTGAAAGGTTCACAGTTTGCAATCATTACCAGATTTATGGCCTATTTCTAAGTATATTGACTCAGAAGTATATATTTGTTTCTGCATTGGGAAACAAGTTCTGGACTTGAGGCAGAAGAGATTCTGCTAAGCCTTGAGCAAATATGTTAATGCTGGTTAAGTGTTATTGCAATTTGAAAGGTTGACTGACTTTTATTTGACCCCCTTGTTACGATTCAGAAGTTTCTACTCAATTTCATTTGAATGGTGGCTTTTTGGAATATTTTAAAAATAAAAGTAGAGCAGGTAAGATTTTTCATAATAACCTATGCTGGGCAAAATTATGAAAATCATCTGCCACTTAAAACCGAACTCATGCCAAACACAGTTCTCTGTTATTTTACAGGTAGGAAGCCCTTAGTGAAATAAAATGTTAATATAAATACTTTTACAAATCTAATGGAAGCAATAGCAAATAGTATCTGGCTGATACATTTTGAAGAGTACATGATACATTGTCCATTGCATAACTCTACTGCAGAGCTTTCCAGACTGTGTCACGACACGTTAGTGTGTCGGCTGCAGTGTGCAGGTGTGTTGCACGACTACTCCCTGCGCTCCTCCTGGGGCTGGAAAAGGGTTAGTTTAACTTCCAGTTTGCTAGTAAAACTGAAGTACTGTGTTGCAAGATGATGCATGTCTAAAAAAGTGTGTCACCAACATGAATAGTTTGGAAAGCTCTGCTCTACTATTTCTAGGATGCAAGTATTGCAGCTCTGATTTTGGGTACCTGTACCATCCTTTATTTCTCTCTCCCCGCCCGCCTCCAGAGTTTAACCACAACTTTGGGTTGTACGATTGGGTTAGACTGGGGAAATAATGTGAGGAGGAAGGTTTAAGCACATGCTGCCTCCCACCAGTTCTGTTCAAGTCAAAACTGAAATCCTCCGCAGCTGGTTTCAGGTAAACAAAACTCCTGAGAAATCTGATAATTCGTGGATCTCTTGTTTAAAGAATCCTTCTTTTTTGTATGAAATCTGCAATACAATAATACAACAATACAACCTGTGCTGTGAGGAGCCTTTTGAATTAAAACACTATTTAACTCCTTGGGAAGTTTTAACTATTTATAAAAAAAATTGGATCACAACCCAGCTTGTTCATTTTGTTCCTTATCTTCTACTTACCATTCCTAGTAAAAACATACATACTTTATTTTCCTTTCTTTTCCTGGTAGCTGGGATAGGTTTTATTCTTGAGACAAATTGAACCAATGTACTAGAACTTTTTCATTTTTTATAAAACTTAGGACAAGTATTAATGGTTGGACTATATTCGAATAGGCTTTGTTCAGTATTTGCTTAATTGATACTATAACCTAAGGAGTTGGAAATCATCTTGAACTAGATTAACAGGGCTTCCCTAATTAACAGGGCTAACTTCGTTTAAATTGCCTGCCCCCTCCCCTGCAACTTCCATCAGCCCCAGCCAACTTGGCCAATAATCTGGGATAATGGGAGTCCAACAACATTTGGAGGGCTACAGATTTCCTATCCCTGCCTTTCATTAACTTGCCCACACTTTGAACTCACTGTTTTGCTTGGATGTTATTGAACCGAAGCCTTTCTTCTGGTCAGGACCAGACTGACAAAGGTTCAGAACAGAAGAGATTTACAAGCTGGCACTCTCTGAAGACATCACAGCTTCTTGAGCTCACCTTCTTATATTGAACATACACCGACTCTCTTGAAGTGCCACTTCAGAAGTCTTCCTCTTCTTCCAGGTCTTTCCTCATGAGTTTCTACCTACATGAATTCTTTTGCCAACCTTTGGACAGTCTAAGCTAAGTTGTCCCTCTGCTGTCCCCTTTGACACCTTTCAGATTTTCCAGTGCAGCTTTGCTTCAGCTTCTTCTTGACAAATCCCCTTGACCCCAAACTTTCTCTTTTTAGTATTCTCTGATATATATAAAAAGTGTGGCTTTTTATTCACTGCAACCAACTCCTCTCCCAATCAAAACTATAGCCTGGCAGACTGATGGTTCAATACACCAATAAGTGGCAATGGAATGTCCACCCATTCATCTCTCAGTGACAAGACTTCTTATGCTCTTTTCAATGTCCACCTCCTGGACTCCTACAGTTTCCCCTGACACCAGCATGTGATAGCAGCTCCCTTTTCCTCTCCAGCATTAAAACGTATTTGCTGTTTGGCAGGCTGTCAGCTGTGAATCTCACTATGACATTTCTATCTCAGGATTTTTACTGTTTCTCCAGGGGGAGTAAATATAAATAGGATTGTTGACATAGTCTCATAATTTTTTATCTTAAGTGGCTTATTCATCATTTCCTTTTACTTCCCTTTGACCAAAAAAAGCCCCTATTAAAAAAATTCCTGTTTTGTTAGTGGTTAGATTATTCATGAAAGAATTCACCTAAGTCTCTATTCACAGTAGCTCCATTCAAACCCATGTTGCTTTGATTATGGCACTTAGGTACATGGTAGTATTTCAAAAGGCTCCCTTTGTCTGAGACATTCCTTTCATCCATTAAACTTGCTTGCTTGCCAAAGAAAGAAACTTCATAGCAAAGTATGCTGGTTGCTAGCAATCACCTTATGTGATTGCAATCACCGTATGTGTCTTACTCCAACAACAACCAATGTTATTATGCATTCCCCTCTTCACAGAACAGCAGAAAGTTCTACAGCCTGCACTGCTGTGTTAATTGACTTTGATGAGGGAGCCCTGGAGATTAAGGACTGTATCCAGCACTGCAGTTCTGTTTGTGTAACAGACTTCTGTGTGTTCAGTGGAACTTCCCCTTCTTCTCCTGCCACCTGTAGCTACCTGTGCAGTCTCAAAACCTGCTCCAGAAGGTTGGGAGACCCTCCACAGCAGATTTTGGGGGGGGGGATTGCAGGGGGAGAAGAGGAAGTTCTGTTGTGTGAGCAGAAATCCTCTTGCACAGTGCTGGATAGAGTCCTTTGGATATTTTTGTAATATTTGCTTTATATGAGCAAAGTGGAGGCAAACAGGAGCTCACACAAGACAGAAGATCCCCCAGAGGGAAACTTGTTCCCCCCTATTCCACTTTACAATCCCAGTTTTCCTCTGATAATAATAATAATAATAATAATAATAATAATAATAATAATAATTTTTAAATTTATATCCCACCCTCCCTGGCTAAGGCCAGGCTCAGAGTGGCTAACATCATAAAAACAACACAATATGCATAAAAACAGACACCAATTAATTAAATATATATCTTAAAATTAATTCAGACAAGTTAAAATCTGGGCAGGTCGCAATTATCAGGTTGGAATTGAGAGTGGTTAATACTTGCCAGGACCAACTTTCCACTGATCATACAAGGACCTGTGAGCAGGCTGGGGGCCTCCTTCAGGCTTGTTTTATCCTGATTCACTCCATCTTGACCTTCTCCATTTTCGTAGCTACTTCAGTGTACAATGCATTCTTCTCCTTATTTAGTTCTTCCCTACAAGTGCCTTCTGAGGTGAATCATGAATATTCCTAGTAATGACAAGCAGCAGCAGCAGCAGCAGTGAGGGAGTGGGAGCTTGCACAGGCTGGGTGAAGAAACTGGGGAAGAAGGAGTGAGTGGTGAGGAGGGAGCCCAAGGGCCAGGTTTGAAAATGCAAAGGGGGATGTTGCAAAGAGAACAGAGCCTGATGCTCTTGTGCTTTTGGTTGGAGGTGGACAGAAATTGCAAGCAGGGTTGAATGCAGAAAGGCTTGGAGTGAGCAGCAGGTGGAGCTGCTGGGCAGGCACAGCAAGGGCTCAGCCATTGATAAGGTTGCCAGACTGTGGCAGTTAGTTAGAAAGACTTGAGGAATCGGGCCAATGAAGAGCAAGCAATTAGCCAGTCTGACTCTCGGCAGAGCCTCCAGGGTTGGGAAAAGTGATACAGTCCCATTTTGGAAGCCTATCATCCACTGACTCATGTAATCTATATTGAACTTGCAAAGGAAAACATCGCATACTGAGCCAGACCAGATCTAACTCACTATTACCTACTCTGATGGGCAACAGTTCTCCAGGATTTCAGACAGGAGGCTTTTCCAACCCTGGCTGGGAAATGCCAGTAATTGACCATTTTGCTCACTTTACTACTGAGCAAGGTCCCTTCCCTTGTATCACTTCAAACTATAGGTGAGAGATTGAATGTTTCAGTACTTTTCCATATAAAAAGCTCAGTGCACGCACAAAATTAGCATATAGCTGTACCTTGGTTTTTGAACAGCTTAGTTCTCAAACGTTTTGGTTCCGGTTTGCGAGCTATTTTTGGAAGCTGAATGTTTATCGTGGCTTCCGATTGGCTGCAGGAGCTTCCTGCAGCCAATCAGAAGCCGCACTTTGGTTTCCGAATGCTTTGGAAGTCAAACGTACTTCCAGAATGGATTCTGTTCAACTTCCAAAGTACGACTGTATTGGGAAGAGGGGTTCTGGTATATGCTGATCATGTGATTTGATTTGGAATAAGGATGCTTGACAAATTAGAGATCTGTGAATTCTGTTGCCCCTCTGCACCTCCTGGATTAATATGTGGAACAGAACTTTGTTCTCCACCAGCTTGTGCCCTTCCCAAATGTTTGAGCATAGCTCTCAGCTAAAAAAATATATCAGCATAAGTTAACATGTGTTTTGAGAGAAAATATATTTAGAAATGCATATTCAAATAAGTGTTTGCATGTGTTTTTTGTGTATTTGAGAAGACTAGAGTAATGCAGAAATGGAACAGACAGGGACAAAATCATGCAAAAATGAAAGTGGAAATACAGTCATACCTCATGTTACGTTTGCTTCAGGTTGCGCATTTTCAGGTTGTGTCCCGCGGCGACCCAGAAGTACTGGAAAGGGCTACTTCCAGGTTTTGCCACTCGCGCATGCGCAAATGTGGCAAATTGCGACCCACGTGTGCGCAGACGTGGGTTGCATTCTTTTCAGTTGCGAACGGGCCTCTGGAACGGATCCTGTTTGCAACCAGAGGTACCACTGTAAACTGATTCATCCATCTATAGCACTTTTTGTGACCATTTTCTCCCTCTTACAGCTTGGTGTAAAGAAAAAGAAGTACATGCCTTATAATCACCAGCATAAATACTTCTTTATCCGTGAGTATAATTTCTTTTCTGCAATGGCTTTTTGGATAGCTTCAGAAATGGTTTTAGGCAAATTTATGGACGGCAAGGCTGTGCGCTATGTCCAGTTCTAGAGGCCGTATGTCTGCCAGTTTCTGGGGAGCGCAAGTGGGGAGCATGCTGTGTGTGAGAACAGGATGCTGGACTAGGTGGCCCCTTGGTCTGATCCAGCACAGCTCTTCTTAGGATCTTACCACATGATTTTTTATCAGAAGTCCACAAAAAACCTGCCATCTCACAAGAAGTTTTAGTAGTTTGCTTTCCTGTAGGTATCTAAGCTAGTCATCTGCAGAATGCAGAAACAAGGAACAAACCTTGTAGTAGAAAAGAAGGTGTTTGTGCTTGGTCACTTGTAGGTGATTCTTACTCTCTATAGGTGACCCAGGGGAGTGAAAATTTACTACAACTGAGCCAAAGTATTGCTCACAAGGGGGGGAAACTTGCAAAATTTAGATTTCCCCCTCGGTGCCTTTTTTTTTTTTTTTAGTTTCTTCTGTGGTTGTTTGCCGTTATAATGATTCATTTTGCTTCCAGTGTTTCCCAATAGGGTGGGAGATGCTTGCTGTCTTTCTGTCTTGTGCCACAAGACTATCCCAACACGACCAATGCTAGCTCTTATTTATTTATTTATCTATCTATCTATCTATCTATCTATCTATCTATCTATCCATCTATTATTTTAAAAGGTGTATCTTACCTGTCAGTATTTCTGCTTCCAGAATGGTCATTGGGTAATGAAACGAAGTTTAAAACAAAGTACCATATTAAAAGCAAAGAGAGAGAAAAAACACAGAATAAAGAGGTAGTAGAAGATGGCACTGTGGGTTAAACCACAGAGCCTAGGGCTTGCTAATCAGAAGGTTGGCGGTTTGAATCCCCACGACGGGGTGAGCTCACGTTGCTCAGTCCCTGCTCCTGCCAACCTAGCAGTTCGAAAGCATGTCAAAGTGCAAGTAGATAAATAGGTACCACTCCAGCGGGAAGGTAAACGGCGTTTCCGTGTGCTGCTCTGGTTCGCTAGAAGTGGCTTAGTCATGCTGGCCACATGACCCGGAAGCTGTACTCCCTTGGCCAGTAAAGCGAGATGAGCACCAAAAACCCCAGAGTCGGCCACGACTGGACCTAATGGTCAGGGGTACCTTTCCCTTTACCTTTTAGAAGATAAAACATAATAGGAACATCAGAAGTAATACAATTTCAGACTATGAGGCAGAAGGAAAATATGGGGAAATAAAAATGCATTCACCTGGTAACGAAAAGCAGCAAGAGTGGGTGCCTGTCAAACCTCTTGGAGGAAACTGCCGTCAGGAGGGGTTCCACAACTGAAAAGCCCCTTTCTCCTACCCTATTCAAGATTGCAGGGGGACCTAGAGAATATGAGCTGAGTAGGTTTGTGTGGAGAAGATAGGCTACTCATTTCTTTTGAGCCAACTAAGAATGTTTCTCTGAATTCTTCCCCAGTTGGACCACCAGCTCTCGTGCCTTTCTACCTGCAGTGGTACATCTTCTACTTTGTTGTCCAGCGCAAACAATGGGCGGTGAGTATGCCTGAGCCCAGCTTCCCCCGATCAGCTGCCCTGGCATCAACGGAACAGGATTGTTCCATGAGAGCTAGGAGCTCGTTGCACCAGACGCTTGTCAACGGGACACTTTGTAGGACTCTACATATCTCGCACACCCATACTTAGTTTCCCTGTTTCCAAAAAAATATATTGTCTTTCAGTCTGAAAAAGAAGAAGGCAAAACTATGGATTCAGTTTGTAAACTTGCTGTAGAGAGGGGAGATCTTTAGCACATAGCCATGTCGCTAAACTCACACAAGTTGCTTAGCTTACCTGCTTTCTGTTTTCCTAGCCTCTTTGTCGCTGAGGCTGCAACGCTGCACTTTCATTCTTTAAAAAGGAAATGAACTGGAACTGAAGACTTAAAGCTACTCTTCAGTGTTTATGCTAACATTTCCTCTACACTGGGCCGTTCTCAGTTTAGGTTTTTCCTCTTTCTAAATTAGTTTGCCGCTAGGTTTTTCCAGTTAAAGTTTAACCTCGGACAGTCAAGGCTTAATTGCTACATTAGAGCTGAAGAACTGCAATTTCGCAACAGAATGACCTCTTCAAGAGTTATGGTTCAGTTCCTGAGATGCAGTGCCCCTTTTCAGCTCCGGGTTATAGATTTATATAAATGGATATTACCTGATCACAGAGATGGACTCTCTTGAAATCCAGCCCTATTAAAACCTATTATAGCAGGAGTTATCACAAGGGTGAGCAAATCAGAGGTGTGGATTGCACATTCTTACAGTGTGGGCAATGGGATTAGGGGATTGAATTGTCCAAAGGCCACAGTTTGTTGGGTAGTATAGATATGCCTAAATAAACAAATAAACAAACAAACAAACAAATAAATAAATAAAAATTAAGGGAAAATAGTTAAGATCCTCTGGGAGCCAAAGAGTATGACCTGCTTTAAGCTTGGCTAAGCTTGCACTTTTCTAAACTTACACTTTATTACTATTGCTATTATCATTTATTAAATTGATTTACCACACTTCATCTGAAGATCACCGGGCAGTTTACAACATAAAAACACAAAATTCATAAAATAATAGCACAAAACAAAACCCCAACATATTTAAGAGGCCATAGAGTGTTTAATTAGCAAAAGGCCTAGTTGAAAAGGAACATTTTCGCCTGTTACCTAAAGAGATGTAATGAAGGCGCCAGGCAAACCTCCCCAGGGAGAACATTCCACAAGTGGGGAGCCACTGCAGAAAAGGCCCTTTCTCATGTTGCTACGCTCTGGACCTCTCATGGAGGAGACACACGAAGCCTTAGATGATGATCGCAGGGCCTAGGTCAGTTTGTATGGGGAGAGCCAATGCTTGAGGTATTTGGGTCCTGAGCCATTTAAGGCTTTATAGGTCAAATTCAACACTCTGAATTGGGCCTGGATGGGCAGAAAGAGGGCAGGATGTGGGAAGTGAAAGATTAGATGAGGAATAACAGGAATGCGTATAAGAAACTTCCTGACCGAGACAGGTTTAAGCATGTGGACATTTAAAATAGCTTTGGGAGATGTCTGGGCTGTTACCTTTTCAATATATCAGACTGAGGGCGAGCACAGGTTCAGTGATGGGAGACTGCATAGGTGGCCTCTGAGACTGGTGCCCTACATGAGCAAATGGGTGGGGGAGGTCTGCAGCACTATGACATGGCCTTCTGCAGAGCATTCATCCTTTCCTTTGCGACAGGATCTGGCCTGGATGGTGACTTTCTACATCCGTTTCTTTTTGACTTACTCATACCTACTGGAACTGAAGGGTCTCCTTGGTCTCTTCTTTCTACTCAGGTGAGTTTCATTTGGATGCATACCCTCACCATAACTGATTATTTGGGGTTACCATATAGTCCCTGCAAGTCAAAGATCTTTGTTTGCACTGCAGCGCCACATTCTGGCATGGTCAAGAAACAGAACTTTTCCAGGATATTGAGCCATGCATTGAGAAGGGCCCTATGGTGTGTGCGCACACAGGCATGCACACTGTGTTTCTGCATGCACAGATGCATCGAACCTTCCCCAGGGTCACAGCAGTCTGGGCTCTACCTGTCCACATCCCTCTGCCCACCATAGCAGCAGGTATTTTGTTCCTGCAATACTAACTTGAAGTAGCCATCCCTCCCAGAGGCCACTCTCACAGTCAGTTAGATTGCACTCACAAGCTTGCACCAGAAGAATGGACCCCACTGCCATACACCAGCCATAAATGAGGTTTAAGATTTACTGATTTGTATCGACTAATGTTGAACATACATTCTAAAACAACAGCAACAAAACCCCTTTCTTGCTAAGAGAAAACTATATAGTTTTACTCTTCACCCTTCCTCTCTCTACTCCCCTAGAAGGTGTGTGTGTGTGTTGTTGTTGTTGTTGTTGTTGTTGTTGTTTTAAAAAACAAACTGTTTCAGTAAAGCATTGGTGCTTTTCAATAGGTTCAATACAGAGGCAAGTCTTCCCTCTGCAGAAGCTCAGTCTTGGCAAAGAACTCTTAATTATTGGCTCTGTCTAAATTTAAATCCACCCGGTCGGCTGCCCTTATTGACACAAGACCCCCATAAAAGTGCGTGGTTTAAAATTGTGCACCAAAAACTCCTATCCTGTGGACTCCACCCACATCAGCTTCTCATGATGGGTTTTGTTAAAGCAAAAAGGCTAATTGGACAGCATCTGAAGGACTTAGAGCAACAGAACAACCTGGACATTATAAAGAAATTCTGTCCTTGGTATGCCTTTTTCCCCCCTTCTCAGTTTGATTCCCTGGCACCATATTTGTATAAATTAACTATCCCAAAATACAGACGTGCCTTCACACTGGCCAGATTGGATGTGATGCCCTCTGCCGCACTTGAGGGCAGATACCAAAAGGTTCCAACTGAGAAACACTCTGCCCCTGTGGAGATGGTAATCTGGAAAGAGTGGCTCATGTTCTCCTGTCCTGTCCTCTTTATAAAGATCTGAGGAATGAAATCATTACCCCACTCTTACTTACCCTCCCAGGCCGCCCATCTGAGGCCACATTGTTCTTTCTTTTATCAGCTCAAAATGATCAGACAACAGCAAAGGTTGCTAGGTTTATTGAGGGTGCAATGAGATTAAGGGCCACTATCTGAATGATAATCTTGGCCATTTGATTGCCCTTTTTACCCATTGCTGTCTTTTTTATTTGTATATATATATTATTTGTATATATTGCTTGTTTTATGTTGCTATGGCCGTTGGCTAATGCGAATAAAGTTTACCTTATCTTATCAATAGGTTGTGTGGGTTTAGTTGGATGGAAACACAATAATTTACTTCTGTGCTTTGTGCAGATTTATAGAGAGTCACTGGTTTGTCTGGGTGACACAAATGAACCACATCCCAATGAACATTGATTATGACAAGAATGTGGACTGGCTTTCAACCCAGGTAATATGCACAACGATTCCAGCAGTTATGATCATGAATATGAGACTTATACAGGAGGTGTCTTATCTTAGGAGCTGAAGTATAATTGAGTGACTGGAAGGGTTGGGTGTAACTGTATGTAAGAACTAATTGTGGAATACCAATAATGGGTTGGGTTAAAGAGGACAGGCTGAAGGAGTAAAAGAAAATTAGAAAAGGAATAACATGAATGCTTGCAAGTGTCTTCTTGATCCAGAACTTTTATACCTCTTGTGTAAACACATGGAACTCCGATCAATTACTGCTGCTTGAAGGCCCCATCAGGTTGAGTCCCATGTCCAGTGAAACCCTAATCCATCCTTCCTACCGCTCTCACTGCATTCATTTTTTTGAATTAATGTGCACATGGGATTTTGTCATGGGTGGGTGGGGTGGCTGCTCACATGCTCCACATTTGGGCCCCAGAAGTCATGCAATAATGGTGTTACTCTCTGTTCTGACCCTCTGTGGTTGACATGGGAACTAGGAAGGTACCGTATTTTTTGCTCTATAAGATGCACCCAACCACAAGACGTACCTAGTTTTAGAGGAGGAGAACAAGAAAAAAAAAGTCTCTCCCTCTCTGCGCAGTGCCCCTTCAGCGAAGTGGCAGGAGAAACGGAGCCCCTTCCATTTCTCCTCCCGCTTCACTGAAGGGGCGCTGTGCATCTCTCGCTCTCTGCGCAGCGCCTCTCCAGCAAAGCGGGAGGAGAAATGGAAGGGGCTCCGTTTCTCCTCCCACTTTGCTGAAGGGGTGTTGCGCAGCTTTCCCTCTCTGCGCAGTGCCTCTTCAGTGCTGAAGAGGTGCTGCGCAGAGAGGGAAAGCTGCGCAGCGCCTCTCCAGCGAAGTGAAGTCAGAACAGCAAGATGGATCACTGCGCAGCAAAAGCAGCGATCCCTCTTGCTGTTCTGGCTTCTGGGATAGCCGTGCCAAGCCTCTTCAGGGCAGGGGGAGCATTCCTCCCGTTGCCTGAAGAGGCTTCGCGTGGCTATCCCTGAAGCCAGGAGAACGGAAAGCCTCCTGAGCGCAGCGGGAGGAGCACTCCCGCTGCGCTCCAAAGGCTTTGCATGGCTATCCCTGAAGCCAGGAGAGCGAGAGGGATAGGTGCGCACCGATCCCTCTCTCTCTCCTGGCTTCAGGGATAGCTGTGCAGCCTGCATTCGCTCCATAAGACGCACACACATTCCCCCTTTTTAGGAGGGGAAAAGTGCGTCTTATAGAGTGAAAAATACGGTATATGAGGTGTTGAAGTTTTTTGCCAGCATTCACACAGACATATATTGTACAGCCCTGCGGTCAAGTGGGCCCATGTGGGGCAAGGCAATCTCATAGGTAAACTGCTCCCAGTTGTTAGATCCATCTATTTATTATTGTTGTTCTTATTCTAAGGACTAGGATGGGGAGATGAGGGTATGCCACAGTTCACTGGGGTGTCTAGCTAGAACTGAAACATGAATATCCTCATGTGGTGCCTTTTATAATATATTTTCTCTCTCTCCAGCTCCAGGCAACATGCAACGTAGACCAGTCCCTGTTCAATGACTGGTTCAGTGGGCATCTCAACTTCCAAATTGAGCACCAGTGAGTATATTCTTCTTTTTTCACCAGTTGAAAGGTGTCTTGAGGATATCAGCTAATAGGAAGCCTAGAAAAAGAATGGGATCTATTTCCCCGAGAGGCTTATTTCATGCTGTAGTAGTAAGTGACCTTGTAGGGGGCTGAAGAGGATGGAGGCCTCATGAGAAACCTAACTGTTCAAGAGCCTGGAGTCCTTTATGGTATACGTGTGATTCAGTCATGTGGACAACTGAGTTTGTAGGGGTTTCACGTGCTGCTGCTGAAGCATCATGTGGGTAGGCTTTTGGGTATACAGTGGTACCTCGGGTTACAAACTTAATTCATTTTGGAGGTCCGTTCTTAACCTGAAAACGTTGTTAACCTGAGGTACCACTTTAGCTGATGGGGCCTCCTGCTGCCGCTGCACCGCTGCCGCACGATTTTGGTTCTTATCCTGGGGCAAAGTTCTTAACCTGAAGTACTACTTCTGGGTTAGCGGAGTTTGTAACCTGTAGTGTTTGTAACCTGACCTGAGGTACCACTGTAATGAGGAAGCAGAGCTGGACAAGGGATATTACGAAGTTGAATTCCTGTGTGAAAACAGCCTTGGACCAGGGAGGCACCCAGGACATGATAAGCTTAAGCTGGCAATGCAAGAGGACCCAATGCTATGATTATAATTTTAGGATAAGGCCCTCTGCAACAATTGTTTACAGATTAAATCATTAAGCTTGTAAGTGATTATTTGGCTTGGGCAAGCATTGCACACACTAATGAGATTTTGGGAGGAAGAAGAAGGCTCTCTAGAGCTCTGAGGAAGTCATGAGATCTGGCAGCTGCCTCTCTCCCTCTCTCCACAGCCTTTTCCCCACCATGCCTCGACACAACTTCCACAAGGTGACCCCCTTGGTGAAATCCCTATGCGCAAAGCACGGCATCGAGTACCAGTCCAAGCCTCTGCTCACAGCCTTTGCAGACATTGTACAGTAAGTGTCGGTGAATGTGAAAGCACCAGCACCCCTTGCAGTTCCAGGAGGAAGGACAGCTCCCTTCGTGGGGAGAGACATCAGACCGACATCTTGTGAAAGGGCACAAAAAGAAAAGGGAAGGGGGGCGGAATAATATGGGACCGCCAGTCTCCAGCCATGGCTTCCAATAATGCAAACAGATAGCTGGGAGGAGTGCCCTGAGGAAACAATATTTGTTAACGTTCAGAGTTTTCAGCACTCTCTTAATTCTTCTAGAAATCATAATCAGGGCTGCATACATTCTGCTTGCCCTCCTCTTAAAAACACATCAAAACTTGGTGCGAAGGAATCAGAACATCTCTGAGCCAAGTTTATGCAAAGTAGATGCACACACATAAGTCAGGGATGGGAAACGTGTGGCCCAGCAGAAGACTCCCATCAGCCTCTGCCAGAAATAGCCAATAGAAATAGATACTGGAAACCACTGGAATCTAATGCCGTTGTTATAAAGCACCTTGAACGCAGGCTGGGGAAGATTGAAAATGTCGGCACTGCCCGTGTTTTGGTTCTCCCCCTTCAAATATTCCTATCTGACCATAAGGCTTAGAAACAACAACACAGAGATTAGTGCATGATTAGAGCATAACTCCTGTGCAGTATGCAAGGAGGTCTGTAGAATATGCACACCCCAGAAAAATGGACAGCCTTCATTGAATGAGCACAGAGTAGGTGGAAAGCTAATTGGGAAGGCTGTTGATATTAATGTTAATTTATGTACATAGTGTAAGTTTCTTTGAGTTTACTTTTAATAAAAAAGCTAATAGTCAATTCAATAATAATAATAGCTAGTGAAAGTAGTTTGCCTGAGCTTTTGCAAGAGCATGGTGGCAAAGTCGAAACAAGCATTTGTGGATTCTGAGCTCTGGGTTAGTTCACACATACCTACTGCATCTCTTGACTGCTTGGCTCCTCAAAACTTGCAGACAAAGTGTGCAGACTGAGCCCACTGAAAAGAACTGCTCTGAGATGACTTGAAAGTTCTGTCCTGTCTCACCTGGAATGGCTCATTCGTACAGCATTTGCTGCAGCAATCAGGTGATGAGCCTGCATGTGTGAACCAGCCCTGTGGCTCTCTCCACAAGAGGGTCCTGCATCCTTCCATGTGCTTTTAATGCCATTCCCCCACCCCCACTTGCTGCTCTATTATGGGTTTTTTTTCTTATCGTAACATGTTCACTCAATGACTATAGTGCCCTGAGAATTCCTGGCTCAATATCTGGTTTGTTTCTTCATGTTTCCTGACTTGACCCTTTTTATCCTCGTTCCAGTTCTCTGAAGGATTCAGGAGAGCTCTGGCTCGATGCGTACTTGCATCAGTAAGAAGCAGCTGACACCTCTCACCCTTGCTGCCTCCTGCCATTGGCATCTTGAAGAGCGCAGAGGCCTGGCTTAATCAACCGTGGGCAGCTGGCTGAGCTGAATGCTGGCACTGAGTATGATGTTTCAAGAAGTCTTGTTCCTTCCTCTTCACTCATGCACCTCACTCTCCTCCTTTCTGCTCTTGAAGATACTGCAACCTTTCCAGATGTGCACGTTCACCAGGACCAGGAAACGATGCTCATTTCTTTGCCGCCATTTCATTTGCTTTGTATGTAGAAGGGAAATCTTACTTAGGGATCTCTTAAGGCTTCTGTCGCCCAGGGGTCGAGCTTGCCTGGCTCCCTCCTAGAATAAACAAGGACCGAGGATGTGGATGTAGTCTGATGAACGAGGTGGAGAGGAGAAGGCCTAGGGAAGGAGAAGAAAATGCAGGATCTGAGGAGCTGTTGGTAGAAAGATTAGGACACGAAAGCTTGAAGTTGGGAAATGAGGCATAGCCAGGATTAGAGAAGACAACAGAGGCCAAACTGCTGTGCAGGTGATTGTGAGAAGAGAGCAGCCAAATACTGATACAGGCACACATTCCAGGGCCAGGCTAGAGAATGGCCAGCCTATCTTAACTACAGAAAGCAGTCTGGGCTAGGTTTTCTGAGCTCAGGAGTCCAAGACATTCCTGGGTGTACACAAAGACAAAAAAGTGCCTTAATTACAGATGTGGCACTACTACCACTCCACAGGGCCATATTTTGAAAGGGGGATAATGAATGTCTGGTCTGGCTATTGCTCAAACTTCCAGAGGCAAATTGGGAGTACGAAGATGCCCAAGTCTCTCAGCTTAGCTACTGATATGCCTTGAGAACAAATAGTATATACCTTCGCACAACTGGAACTGCACTCTTTCTGTATTGCTCAGTTGCTAAGGGCTGTTTCTAGATCACATACCTGATTACACTAATTCTGTTCTACAAATAGGACTAAACCTCTGGGGTGTTTGCTGCTACAACAGAGGGGGTGACAGCAACTAAAGCACAAGTCCAGAGCAGGCATTCTCAAAGTTGTCATAGTCTTTCCTTGTCTCTAAATCAGCCTTTCTCAACCTGTGGGTCCCCAGATGTTGTTGAACTGCAACTCCCATCACCCTTAACTAGCAAGGCCAGAGCTCAGGGATGATGGGAGTTGTAGTCTAACAACATCTGGGGACCTACAGGTTGAGAATCGCTGCAGTTGAGAATGAGGAGAAGAAGAGTTTGAATTTTCTCATGCTTATTTCACCTGGTGTCTGATTAGTTGTGCAATTAGTTTTTATGGGGTTGAAAGTCACCATGAGGTGTCTGTAATTCCTTCATGGCTTTTTATTCACACAGATGTCTTCCCTTATGGGGAAACTGGGATGCATAGCCTTGGGACATTTTGGCTACTGAAAACAAATGGCACTTCATGGTGACATTGGTCCCCCCCAGACAATTTGAGTGTTATCAACTTTCTCTAACAGCTAAGAGATGCATCTGCTGGATCATTCTGTTCTTCCTGTTCCAAAGGCAGATAGTAGGAAGGTTCAGACCCAAGTTGCTGCCTTGGGCTTCTCCAGGAGGAAGGGCGGGATATAAATAGAATAAATAAAAATAATAAGAAATAATACAGTGAGACTTTGATTCTCCGAAGGAGAGACCATATGAAAATGTATCTCCCCACAAAATGGGTTTTGTCGTGCAGTTCAATGATTGGGTTTACACAGTGCCATTTTTCTAGAAAAAGAGGTGCCAGAACTCACCATGACCGCCTCCCTTGTTCTCTTATAATGGCAATGGCAGCCATCTTAGAGGTGCCAGAACTGAGTTCCAGTGAGTTCTGGCTGGAAAAAAAAGCCCTGGGTTTATATGCATAGCAGTGATTAGGAGAGAGGGACCTAAGCTGAGAAGTAGACCAGAAATCCATTCATAATGAAAATCTGTTAGAATGGAGTTGCCAAACCTCCCAGCGACTGGGTATTAGTTTTCCATATGAATGCCTGGTGCTTTGAGACAAGACCCATAGCTCTAGAGAGGAGTTGTCACCCACTGATAAACTTTAAAGCGTTAACATTCCAGCCCAGAGGGAAGGGTGATGCAGCCTTCAAAACAAGCCAGTATATCACCTCTGATTCTTTCTTGTATAATGTGCCTCTTAGGAATGCTTTTGGAGAAAAAGCATGCTACCTTGGATTGCCACCATAGCCTTATGTTGCCATTTGATAGAATCTGTAGAACACGAAAAAACACATCTGCCAAATTAGACATGTGGAGTTCCTCCTGTTCCTTTTAAAATGAAGCCCTAACATTGAAGCATCTTTCTTTTCTCAACCTCTAGTCTTTCCTTCCGTGAGTTGATGCCAACCTTTCTTCTTCCAATCTTCACTATCTGCTAATTTTATATAAGCAGCATGTGATGGTTTCCTTCCTTCCTTCCTTCCTTCCTTCCTTCCTTCCTTCCTTCCTTCCTTCCTTCTTTCCTTCCTTCCTTCCTTCCTTCCGGTAAACCTTTCCTGATTGCACATGTTGCCATCTGCCAAAAACAGCCATTGACACCAAACTAGATGTGGTGGTGGAGAACCAGGACTGGATCATCAGTTTCTTTAAATTTTGACAAATAGGAGCTGCAGGTGTTTGTGTCCAAAATCTAAATGGGGGTCCACCCTTCACTCCAGTTGCTATTTGCCATTAGAGAAAAGGTAAATGTGCACAGGCTGCACTCATAAAGGGGCAATAAAAGCAACTTGAATGGCTTAATTCAGTGGGAAAATAGCACAAGTATTAACTTTTCAGGTAGTTGGCTGCTATTTGTCAGTTTTTAAGAGGCATATCTTCTGCCTTGTCTAGTTTGGCCCTGCTTATTATAGAAGTGCCCTTTGCAGGGTTGTGGCATAGGATAAAAAACACCACTACCCCTGTGCTTATTATTAAGAGAGGATGGAAAAGCTGGAGGCAGAGGAGTGTTTGTCTCCCCCATGGATGAAAACTCTGGACATACAGTATTCTTTTGCGTGTGAATTTTTTGATGGGGATAACCATACTGTAAAAAAACAAAGAAACCATAATGTGAGTGTTGAATAAATAAGAGTAGGTGAAGCAAACTGTGTGTACATCTTTTTATCTTTTCCACTGTTCTGTTCATTTTCCTTCTTCTCTTGCTTCATACCATACACCCTGCTCCCCAACAAACACATGCGTTCACTGAGTGTGTGAGGAGGTAGGGCAATTGTGTCTCCTGGCCATGATCCTTTGGCAGACATACATGCATCACTAGCAAGAAAGGGCTCCTTTCTGTGGATGGTTTTGCCACCAGTCCTTCTGACCTGAGCAGGCTCTCTGAGAAGTCTGGAAAGCAGTATTTTCTGATGTTCACATTTGGAATCGCATGATACCATGGGCAGAACTAGAATTCAACATATCACTAAGTGAGGTATGCACACGGGGAACAAGGTCTGGTGATGCAATGGGACTTTCCCCCTTCTACCCCTGTGCACTCCTTGAAACTGTTCTGTGGTCCCCCCCCCCACTGCCTAGAGCAGATTTAGGGGACGTGGGGGCACACATGGGGGGAAGAGAGAGAGGAAAGCCCTATTGTATGAGCAGACCTTACTGCACGCATGCAGCAACTTAGTTGAATCCCATCCCACTCAAGTTTCATGTGGGTTTGAAGCTTGTTTGTTTGTTGAGCTGTCCACACAACACCCTCCTCATCTTAGTGGCAGCCTGCAGTTTCCCTCCGCTAAATTTTGATTTTTCCAATTGTAGGATAATCTGATAAAGGAATAAAATCTAATATAAAATTGCATGTCACCTGACTGGACACACTAAAGTGCATTGCATGGGTGTGTTTTCCTAATAAATACGTGTCCAAAAAGAGGTCACGGACACCATGTGATTTATTGCTGACCTGCTCCTGACACATGCAGAGCTATGCATGTGAGAAGTGATTTATGGTGCCCCGATGGTATATGGGGTGGAGATTAGTCAAGAGGCAGCTATCTTTCACTTGTGCCAGCCTACAGAACATACTGTTTGCAACAAAGCACATGCTCCAGGGAACACCCTGCGATATAGATGTCCAGAGATATAAAGCCTGATGTGTATGTGTGGGTGGGGAGTGCCATAGTTTCTCAAACCCACAGATGATTTTCCTTTCCCACACTCTTGGGCTGCTTTGCAACACAGAGTGATGTACTCTGCTAGATGATGATTAGGTGTAACACAAATCAATTGCAAATTTAAGAGGATGGGTGTGCAGTGCAACACATTTGATAATACTGAGTATAGGTGTAGCATAAAATAGCCCCAAGATTTCTCTGCAAGAAGAGTTGTCTTAGTCAACTGCTGCTCTAAAAGGTAAAGGACCCCTGACAGTTAAGTCCAGTCGTGAACGACTCGAGTTGTGGCACTCATCTCGCTTTACTGGCTGAGGGAGCTGGCGTTTGTCCGCAGACAGTTTTCCCGGGTCATGTGGCTGGCATGACTAAGCCGCTTCTGGTGAACCAGAGCAGTGCACGGAAACGCCATTTACCTTCCCACAGATAAATAGCGGTACCTATTTATCTACTTGCACTTTGACATGCTTTCGAACTGCTAGGTTGGCAGGAGCTGGGACTGAGCAATGGGAGCTCACCCCATCGCAGAGATTCGAACCGCCAACATTCTGATCGGCAAGCCCTAGGCTCAGTGGTTTAGACCACAGCGCCACCCATGTCCCTAACTGCTACTCTAGCTGAGGCAAAAGATGTCTACATATTTCCTTAGAGGAACAGCTGCAGGAACCTTCCACTTTGAAATCTTGAAATCAACTATATGAATGCTGTTGCTGCTATTTATTTATATATCAACATCATACTCAAACCATCCAAGTCCCAAAGGTGAACCATTCTCCAACAGAATGCAAAGGGGACAGTGGCTGAATAAATGTCCTCTGCAGCATCCACATTTATTTGTATATTTCAATCTTTCTACCATTTAACACATGACAGGGTACATAGAGATTCCAAGCCCTCTCCCATCCAGGCTCTGACCATATCCAGACTTAATAATAATAATAATAATAATAAATTTATACCCCGCCCACTCTGGGCGGCTTCCAACAAAATATTAAAATACAATAGTGCATCAAACATTAAAAGATGCCCTAAAGAGGGCTGCCTTCAGATGTCTTCTAAAAGTCTGGTAATTGGTTTTTTTCTTTGACATCTGGTGGGAGGGCATTCCATAGGGTGGGTGCCACTAGGGTGAGACGGCTCTCTGCCTGGTTCCTTGTAACTTGGCTTCTCGCAGTGAGGGAATCGCCAGAAGGCCCTCGGCGCTGGCCCTCAGTGTCCGGGCAGAACGATAGGAGTGGAGACGCTCCTTCAGGTATACTGGACCGAGGCCGTTTAGGGCTTTAAAGGTCAGCACCAACACTTTGAATTGTGCCCAGAAACGTACTGGGAGCCAATGTGGTCTTGGCAGCTGCCCCCAGTCACCAGTCTAGCTGCCGCATTCTGGATTAGTTGTAGTTTCCGGGTCACCTTCAAAGGTAGCCCCACATAGAGCACATTGCAGTAGTCCAAGCCAGAGATAACTAGAGCATGCACCAGTCTGGTGAGACAGTCCGCTGGCAGGTAGGGTCTCAGCCTGCATACCAGATAGAGCTGATAAACAGCTGCCTTGGACACAGAATTGACCTGCGCCTCCATGGACAGCTGTGAGTCCAAAATGACTCCCAGGCTGTGCAGCTGGTCCTTCAGGGGCACAGTTACCCCATTCAGGACTAGGGAGTCCTCCACACCTGCCCGCCTCCTGTCCCCCCAAAACAGTACTTCTGTCTTGTCAGGATTCAACCTCAATCTGTTAGCCGCCTAGCACCTTGTAGCACCTACAAGGTTTCTGCATGTTAACCAGGAAAAAACACCACTCACAATATTGAACTTAATTATTCCGCTTACAAAAGGCTTCCCATTTTATTCTACTTGGGTGTCTGAGAATGTGAATTCATGATACACTGATCAGGGGCAGAGGAAGGGGGGTGCGGTGGGTGCAGCTCACCCTGAGTGTCACCAGTGAGGGGGGTGACAAAATGCCAGGTGGCACTCACTGCGGGGCCTGCAGCGCTCCCGAGCCACTCATCTCTCTGCCCACTGCCTTCCCTCCCCCCAGCTGTAGGGCGGCTGAGTGGGAGGAGGCAGTCAGACTCCGGAGGCCCCATGATGTGTCCCGCCCCTATGGGCAGCTTGCCCCACCCCTGGGCGTGCCTCCCCCGGCGCCCGAGAGGCTTCCTCTGCCGCTGACAGTGATCACCTAATGTGAACAGTCCCCAAACGCTGTCAGTTTGTGCACTTTCTTCATACTTTCTTGAGAATGTAAAAAATCACTAGTATTCATTCATTTCCTCTATCCAGCCCACATCAACCATACCATGTCTGAGTCCTTGCTGAAGTATGGCTCCTTATCTTGAGAAAGCATGGCGTTTGCCATACATTAGGGAAGGCTCACTGGGGACAGGAAAAGAGCTCGACTTTGAGTGGGGAAACTGTGGTCCTCCAGATGTTGTTGGACTGCAACTCAGGGCTCAGGAGGTTGCGAGCTGAGGTTCCAGCAATAGTTGGAAAGCCACAGGTTCCCCATCCCTTAACTAAATCCCCCCCTCCTTCTGATGAGGATGTGTGTAATTTCCCAATATCCTCACTGGGGGCTGATTTTCTCCTGTGCACTTCTGTCCTGACATGGGTCACCTTAGAAACCTAGCAACCAAACAAATTGCTTGTATGGAATTAACAAGCAAGTTGGGGTTTTTTATGATGTAAATAAGAACTATGGGGAAGCTGCTGGATGAGGAGAGGTTTAACGCTTTCTCTCTCTACCATGACAAAACTCTCCTGCTGAAGTTGCTTATTTGCATTTCAAGGGAAGCTCCATTGGCCTCAATGGAGGCATTCCTAGAAATGTAAATAACAGCTTTGGAATTTTTGTAGGGACCGTGGTAAGGAAAAGGCTGCTCAGACTTTCCTGTGACTGCTATTCACAGAACAAAAACATGCACAATTGGTGCATTCATGTAATTGAGGTCGCATCCAGGGCCGGCTCTCCCAAGAAGCGGGGTGAGGTGGTTGCCTCAGGTGGCAGATGTGGGCTACTCAGATCTTCAGTTAAAACAATTGTAGCAGAGGCCCTGTCTCTGCTTTGTATCTGGTGTCATAGCCAGGAGTTGTAGATTGGCTGCCGGTGCGGAGCTCACAAGACTACTGTAGTCATTGATCACATGACTACATTGACTATATGAAGCCATTGGGAGCATGTTGATGGCACACAGCTCTATGCTCATATGAATCGGGAGAGGCTGTTGGTGCCTGGAAGCAGTGATGGGATGGAGGCGGGTCATTATTTTGAGGTAGAGATAGAGGTGATTTGGACAAGCTGTTTTGGACGACCTGTTCCTTCAAAGCCATTCTCACTTCTGGGATTAGGATAATGATCTGGATTAGAAGGATGATCTGGGAAGGGTTGCACTTCCTCTGAAGGAACAGGTCTGTGCTTGCCTACAACTTCCTTCCAGGTACTATTTGTCCAGCTGCCTAGTGTGATCTTCTGTGAAGGTGAGCAGCTCTCAAGTCTCTTGGGAAGAGATATTTCACCTCATAACTACCTGATCCTTAAACTGGAGCTGCCAGGCCTTGAACCTCGGACATTCTACATACCAAACATGTGCTCTATCACAAAGCTAACATCCCTCCCTACAATAATGTATTATATGATGTCATATCATATAAGAAGCATTGTCTCTACCACTCATGAAATACTACTTCCTCTCTAAATAGAATCAACCAGATGAACACATATTTATTCTTGGTATCACTAGTGAAAAGGGAAGATGTCTGGCACGTGGCACCTTACATTTGGAAACCTGATGCTGCCAACACATTTGCAGATGACCTGATTTTCAGTCAGAGTTTCATATATAACAAATTAGTTCCTTAGCTGTGCAAGCGGTGTTTTGTTTTTTATTTGGGCAAAAGCAGAATAAAAACAGGGAGGTTGGCAAATGGCAAATAAGCTTTTAGACAAAGGGGGGGAGAGAAGGAAATAATGTATTTAAATAAATATTGAGGTAACGGCTCGTTTTGGGATAACCGTTTGTTTTATTGTTCCATTTTCTGTGGATAGTTTATTGTTTTTAAACAATTGTTTTGATGTTTGAGTCTGAACCCCCACTTCAAGGCGATTATATATTATGAAGCACCCTGATATCTGAGGACGAAGGGCAATATACAAAGTTAGTTAGTTAGTTAGTTAGTTAATAATACAGCCCAATCCTTTGCATGTTTACTCTGGTAAATCCTATTGAGTTCAAAGCGATTTGCAGACTGATCCTACCTAGTGACTCTCCTCTTTTTCACAGCCTCCTCTCCCCTCCATCAGTCCATCCTACTGCCTCCATTGTCCAGTGTTTTCCTTCCCTCAGTCGCTGTTCCTTTAAGGCTCTGCCTGACAGTGTGTGCCTCCCAGTGCTATTTTTCCAGAAAAAGAGGTGCCAGAACTCTCCATGAACGCCTTCCTTGCTTTTTTAGAATGGCAATGGCGCCCACCTGAGAGGTGGAAAAAAAAGGCCCTGGTGCCTCTGATGTCAGGTTGCCAGTCAGGACAGGAGAAAGGAGGTGAGCTAGGACCTTAATCTGTCACCTCTCCCAAATCTGCTGCTGAAGTGTCCAGCTCAGTTAGGCCCATTGTAGGCTCAAAGCAGTTCCTCTATTATCTTAAACTTCCCCAAGCAGTTTAGAATACTGTAGTTCATTTCCTTAAAATATATTCTGGGAATAAATGTAGAACATCCTACATTGAAATGCACAGTTCATGATTAAATCCTTAGTCTCAAAGCAG